TTTTCGATAAGGGTCCCCCTTATGTAGGGGAGACCAGGGACAGTTGTAACACTTTTTGGGTTCTCCCCAATAAGTAAAAAAACATTTACACTAGGATAGCCATTTGGCTATATTATACATTCTTAATGTGTCAACTACTGAAACAATGTATTTAAGTGTTTTTATGAAATAAGTACAGGTTGAAAAATGTATTTAAATACAGTCACTCAACTGTTACAACCATCCATGTACAGGGACGGTTGTAACAGTTTAATAACGGTTAACTTATTTCAAACTACATGACAAAAAAGAGGGAAAGCTGTCAAATTCTAAGGCAACAAGATTTGAATGGGGTTTCACACATCCTCCAACAAACAATAAACAGAACTTAAAACAGAACACCAGATGGAATTAATCTGATTCGGTTGTGGCAGGTGTAAAAGTCACTTCCATCTGTGCAGTCCTTGTGTGCCCAGGCTTTACAGGAGCAACACTGCAGCCAGATCTCCTTGGACCCTTATCTAAAATGTAACATACAGTATAGGCTACACTATGCCGTTTTTGTGATATTTTAGACATGCTATACTATGCCGTCTTTTTTTATTTTCAACATACGTTGTTTTTTAAAAAAAAATTTGCATTTTTTTGCATGTCGATATTTTTGACATACGTTTGTTTCGTTTTTTTAAATAATTTTTGCACACAATACTGTCGTTTTCACTATGATATTTTCAACAAACTATACTCTGTCATTTTTTTTATATCTTGTACATACAATATTATGTTTTAAAAATAATATTTTCTACATACTATACAATGCGGACTTTTTCATATTTTTGACAAACTATGTTGTTCTTTCTGATAATTTCGACATTTTTGTGATATTTCTTATGTCAAAAATGTCACAGAAAACGAAACATTTAAAAAAAATAAACAAAAGCTCAATGTACAGGCATCACATACACATCAATAAAATCAATCAAGTAATACAACTTTGTGATGGATTTTAAATGCAAATAATAAATTGAAGGCGAACAGGAATGTAGTCTTGTGTAAATAAATTAATAACAATACGTTTATAAATATGTTTGTAAAATGGAAGACAAATGCAAAAAATAGTAAGTTCAAGTTTAAATGACGAGGAAACAGTTCAGAAGTTTTGTTGGGCCGGATGCTGCAGGAGCAGACTGGATGGTTTGAGGCTGGGGATGAAGGAGGTCATCCATGATCCATGTGGCCTTCTTTCTTCTCCGCTGGATTCAGTCGTCCTCCACCTAGTGATGGACTGTGCCAATTTCATCCAAATATATAGAGCTTAACGGTTAAGGGCATATTGTATCACAACAAACAACACAGCATAATATCTCGGGAAAAGTCACAGTATAATATGCAGAACATATCAGAAAAAATGACATAGTGTATTGTGTTTAAAAAAATAGTAAGATTGAAAATATCACCAAAAAAACAAAAACATGGTATAACATGTTGTTAATATCAGATAAAACAGCATGATATAGTTTGTCGGAAATGTTCAAGAAACTCAAAAGTTATTGTGTTGAATAATACACAGAAATTAACATATATGGGGTGAAGCCTGCAAGCTATTTCAGCCAGTCAACTCGAGCACCAATCATACATTAAAGGGCCCATGTCATGCTTTTCCGGTTATTACCCGTCCCCTTGTGTGTTATGAAGGTTTGCATGTAAACGGTCTGCAGAGTCAAAAACCCTCAAAGTACACCCTGTAGCGAGTAAAACTCTAACACAGTCTCTGCTGCCCCAAAACGCCTCGTTGGAGATTTCTCATTTTCCATTGTTTACTCCCTGGGTACTGTGACATGTGAATACCCAGAGGCCACACCCTCTGCCAGCATTTCACGAAACAAAGCTTCACAAACCTTTCAGCGATTCATGCCGGATATGTACAGCGTAGGGCACTGAAGAACGATGCTGTTCCTACTTTGTTTGGACCAGCGGGAGAATTGAAAAGGGTTTTACACACCGTCTTATTTGATTTTCTCAGGACTTGAAACTGCTTTTTGGGGGCAGACCCCCACAAAGAAGAAAAATGTTATACACACCTAAGGTCATCATCTTAACAGTTTGTTATGCTCATCGAGTCATCCGTGAGCGGAGCATCAAGTTGGCATGCCTATAAACTGAATGCAGCGATTACCATCTTGATCAGCAAATCGGCTCACAAACTTATTAAGATAAGACACGCGCGCCTATAGCTGCAATATAAGTTAGTGTGCATGTTGTCGGACGTCCACTGACTAACGTAGTGCGTTCACACAGGATTTGCTGGTCCTATGATGTCCTGATGAACAGAAACACAAGCAGCCGCTGGACTCAGATCTCTAGATACCTCATCACTCCTCCGCTGCTCCGGTTCAAGTCCGGTCTGCGGCGGTTTGTTGATACATGTCGTCTTCTTCTGTTTGCTTTAATCGAGGCTGCGTAATTATGCAGCGCCCCCATCGTCATTAAATGGAAGTACTACAAAGAACCCCGTTTAGTGCAAATATTTTTGTTATACACACAGCTCGGAAAAATCTACCGAGGTCCGGACATTGGTGACCTCAATGGTGGATACGGCCATGGTGGCAAGGCATTTTTCTGAGGTGGCAGCTGCCACCGCGTGCCACGCTGTAGAACCGCCACTGTGTACATACAAGACTTTTGTCGAATATTTAGGAAACTGTGTTATGTAGCAAGCTAGAAAACACAGATACATACATATTTGACTAAAGATTTAGGATATAATCGAATTTCTATAATAATCTAATGAGTACATGAAGAAATAGCTTGCTGCCATGTTTTTAGCACATCTTTGAGAATATAAACATTTTTCTCAACTTTGAGGGAACAATAACTAATAAATGTTCCATTTGTCAGAACATAGACAGAGTGTTAGAACAGAGAATTTGTACCAGTAGCCCAACTTTGCTGTGATAACTCCAGGGCGCTGTCCATGGTGCTGAAGTGGCAGATAGATTTGAACCCTTTTCTTTAAAAACCAATCCTTCTGTCAGTTTTGTATTCGACCTACCGTTTTCTTAATCATTATGCTAAGATAGTTTAGTCACAACAATGAGACTGAAGTCTTAACATTGAGATAATAAATGTTATCCCCCCCACCATGCAGAGCTAGTGAAGATGAGGAACACGTTCAGCCTCAGACTCATCTCGGACAGTCATTTGTGCCTGTAGCCATCAGGCTGTACAACAAGGGCTGACCATGTGACTCAATAAAAGTAACCTGTACTGGACATTCATCTGCACTGTTTGTACAGATGGCTTTGACCTGCACTTGCATCTGCACACTTACATGTAAATAAATCTAACAATCGATAGTTCATGTTTTTCACTCTTACTTTGTTGCTGCTTTAACTCCTGAATTTCCCCACGGGGATAAATAAAAGTACATCTTATCTTATCTTAATGAGATTAGTCTTAATAATGAGATACTTAGTCATACTGTAGTAATGAGAAAACTAAGTCATAATAATGTCTTAATATAGTAAATCATATATTTGTTTCCTCTCACTAGCGGAAATGGGCTTCCATAGTTAAGCTTGTTAGTAAGACAGCAGCAAAGTGGAAATAGTTGGCTGGCTAAAATTGATAAATAGTGGAAATATCTTGATGGAGTAAGCAAATAGAGCAATGGATAAACAGTTGAAATAGTGGCTAAAAGTAATACATAAACAGTTTAAACAGTACTGTTAGCCTAAAGTGTGGGATGAAAAGTAAGCTAACCATAATAAATGAACAGTTTAAATATTTAAAAACAATGAATAAAAAGTTGAATTAGTTGATTTAAAGTACTCGTACTAGCAGGGCCGTCCCTCCCTACAGGCCGACATTGCACAGGGGGCCTCGCACTGGGGGCTTCGGCTTATGAGCTCGGCTTGTGCGCAGTTCTACGCGCATCCAGGAAATGCCGACGTATTCACCTGTAAAAGCATACTGAACGACATTCACCATTTATCTCACTGTATAAAAAAGTAACTGTGTTGATAATAATAATAAACAGGATATTTTGCAAAGTACTTTGTTTCCCAAAAACATTTTTCACTCCTGTCGGGTGGGGGGCCTCATCTCACAATGTTGCTTGGGGCCCCAAGTTGGCCAGGGACGGCCCTGCGTACTAGTATGAAAAACTGTTTTGTCACCCAATTGATATTAGGCTAGAATGCTTCAAATCAACACTTGACCAAGCTTGGACGACTCACATTTTTTAAAGAATATCCACTGTCATGACTAATAATGTTGAATAAAGAACACATTTGGAACATAACGAGTGGTGTGGGGGATTGGACCTCATGTGATAAGAACATGGGTTGTGAGTCTGGAAAGGTTGGGAACCACTGCATTACGTCATCACATCTGTGTGACCCGTGCATTTAATGAGACAGTGGTGCAGTTTGTGTATTTATGATGCAGGTGATTCTTTAAAGAGTTTTGCATTTGTCAAATATATAATGTACAAATAGACATGGATAATCAGCGATGTCAATATGGAATACTTCTAACAAAAGATGTCAAATAAAATGATACAAGCGGTTTCTAAATCAGGTAAAAAAACATCAAAGGGAATATGAGCAATTTCAATAGATGTTAAGTGAAATACAAATAGACCGAATCATTTAAAAAAGTGACAGTTGATTGAGAGCAACACCCTCTTAGAGCACATTTCGATGACATGATGGATTCCTGAAGACTGGTGAAAAGAAAGGAGAGGAATGGAAAGAGAGACACAGAGAGAGAGAGAAAGGTAGACGAAAGGAAAAACATTTGCAGCCTGCCCTGCCCCCTCATCCCTCCCTGGGGAACAAGAGATTATCCAAATGTATAAATGCAAGACAGAGGGAAACAGACTGACAGAGAGGAGGAGGAGAGAGGAGGACAGAGAGAGAGAGAGAGAGAGAGAGAGAGAGAGAGAGAGAGGAGAGAGAGAGGAGAGAGGAGGGAGAGGGAGGGAGAGGGAGGGAGGGAGGGATACACAGCGACGCGATTGGACGAGCGTTAGAACATCAAGCGTGATAGAAATATTTCTCTCGCAGTCTAAGAAATAGAGGTAGAGACCGACAGGGACAGCAGACTCAGCTTTTAACATCTCAGAAAGAGACTTAAAGAAAGAGGACAACAAGGCAATAAGGAAAGGAGGAGACAATAGAGAGCTGGACTGATTGACTTATGACTTCTGAGGGCTGTGGACATTTTGGCTTGAGAACAGAAGAGATTTCAAAGTCAGAGTAAACGCGGCTCAACATGTAGATGTTCTGCACGTTTCTGGTTAAACCTCCCCCCTTTCCCTCCTCCCCAGACTTGAATCATTTACCCTGCACGCCAGTCAGCAGAGACAAATCTAAATGTGTTTGGATACATCTGGGGGGTGCGTCTGAGAGGGAGATGCACAGAGAAGAAGTGTGACATGGTGCCGACCCAAATTGACAGAGACGAGGAAAGAGAGGACTGTTCAGGGGCAGACTCGTCTCCAGCCAGACACAGGTATTCTCTATTTGATACTACGATCAGTCAGAAAAGGATACATGTTTAATAGAACTACAGTCCATATAATACTCTAATTTTGTAATTCAAAGTCTCTTTGATGTGTGTGTTTGGCTTTGTAATGTTAAATAGTTATTTCATTTGAAATTCCAATGTGTACGGCTTCATTCTTTTTATTATATTATAGTATTTAATAGAAGAATCACCAGTAATTAGCTTTGTGAGAATATAACTGTCTAAAGTGCATTTGCAGATTCATGTTCCAATAAATGTAGTAATACAATAAGTAATACTTAGGAGGCTGTCTCTGTAAACTATAACTCACAGACAACACACCTCTGGTTGTTTACAACTGGATCAAATGCGTCATTAATGGTGTTCTTGATTTAGAGCAACAGATGAAGTGAAAGCCATACGACTAACTGCTGAACCGTCACAAGCCATAACCATCCGAGACTATAATCAATAATAATAAAACGCAGCGCTGTGCTTAGTATCGATGAGAATCCCGTGGTCAGCCTGTCACTCACACACTTTGTTGCGTATGTTACTGTGAGGAGAAAATGTGAAGGCTCTGTCTAGAGAGAACGTACATGAAGATGGAGGAGGAGGAGGAGACAGACATTTTGCCTGTCAGAGACTAAAGAAAAAGGAGCAACTAGAGACAACTGGCTGCTAACAGACTTATAAGTGCTTCCTAAATCAAAGGGGTCGCCCTGCTGTCAGATATACAAAAAGAGACAAAGACGTGACTGCTGGGTATTGATTGTGACTGAGTGCTCTACCTACTTAGACAGCAGAGGGGGAGACAGACAATAACCTCTACCTAAGAGGGAGGCAGTAGCCACAGAGAGAAAGAGAGCAGGGGAGAAATCCTCTTCCTCGACCCATCTCGTCTTCAGGATGGCGGGCTCAGCCATGGCATTCACCTTTGCGGCCTTCTGCTACATGCTCACCTTGGTGCTGTGCGCTGCCCTCATCTTCTTCGTCATATGGCAGGTGAGTAGCACTGGAAGCAGAAATGTATGGTCTGTTAACGCTTCCTCCCACGCAGGCAGACAAACACATCCGCCTACACAAGGTTGTACAACACCAACGGGCATACACACACACCTCACATACACACACACCTCACATACACACACACCTCACTCAGGTACTCAGGAGGCACAGTAATGGCATGCATAAATGTTCCCAATCTCAGTGTAATTGTACCTTATATTTGACTGACATTTCAAATTGCCTCTTCGAAGTCAACAAATGCCACTTTATCCCTTCAATTTCAACACCTACATGAAACTGGAAATACATAATTAGTTGAAATAGACCAGAGAGTTGCAGGAGTTGAAAAACATTGTGTTCAGTCTGAATTCCTTCACCTATTTCCGTACAGTAACATGCTGGTTGATCAACAGTATAATTACCTGGAGCTCGTCTGACACCCCTCTACAGTAGGCGACCTGTCATCCCAGAGAACTGACAAACAGTTCCTCAAACAAGACGTCCAGGCTTCAGCAAACTGCAGCAAATGAGTACAGGGAGAAAGCAAACCTCAATAATCACACATCTCAGTGCCAGGCTGCTGTGAATCTCTCTGCCGGCGGCATTTTGAGTGAAATTTGCACAGATATGGCCGTACACCGTTGCACTCAGTTTGCTCGTTTACTCAAGGGCAGGCTGAACAAATACTTGAAGCTTTAATCTGCCACCTTTCAGCATTCAAACCCACGGAGGCAGGAATAATGTGAAATACATCATTATGAACATTAGACTTGAAATGACGGACGTACCAATTGACTAAGTGGGTGAGACTCCATGTGAGTCAGGCAGTGTGTCTGTGTGAGAGAGAGGTCTGGCTCAGCGTTCAACCATGTGATCGAAACGCTTATCAAAGTATGATGATGTCCACCCCTTCCCCCAGTCCGCCTCTACCCACTGGTCCAGCACCCCAAATCTACGTGGCTCTCAACCAATCAGAACGTGTGTTCACTGCTATAGTAACCATGGAGCCCACTGAGGGGCTCACCGTGTCGCCATGGAAACTGCATCTGTTTACAACAGTGTGAAGGAAGACCAGGGAGAGCCCTATAGACTTGTATGGGGAAATTACCAGCAGGGCTTTCTTCTATTTTAACCCAGATCTGTCTTTGTTGATCAGCGAATCAGACGCTCTCTTATCTGTGAATAATGTCTGCTTTTATAGCTTCTCAATGAGCCGGCAAAGATAAGCTCCACTGTTTAAAGGCTCCACTGATGATAAGCACAGCGGGTGGCCTTTACACCAAGACGTATTAGTATTTTTATGGAGCCATTAATCAGAGAGAGCTGGAACAATTATCCTTCATACTCCCACACAGGGAGCAGGGGGAATGATGGATACATATATGAACCATTACGTTATTTTCTCTACAGTGACCCTCAATTCCATATATGGTTATTTATTCTCCTACATACTCAGAGTTTTATATTTCAAATACAACAATTTTTTCAATATGAAGTGATTTCAGATCATTGATAAATACAAGATACTTTTCCCTTCACAGCTGTCCATGTCCGGGTATTCTCACATAATTTCCAATGTGAACAAAGCGTTCATACTTTATCAATATACACTGGTTTATTATTATTATTACTATTTTAGATGAAAAACAGGAAAAAGGGGTAATTCTAGCTCCTTGGGGGACTTCATAATGACACATGAGCTCTTACAATCAAGCATTCAATCGAGCAAAGTGTGCGATGTGGCTGCAGCTGCACCAGAAGCAGTGGGTGTGCAGAACAGAGAGAGCTACGTGTTGAACAACAGGCTGAGACAGGAATATTTCTCGAGAGCGTGCTGTTGAAAAGACACCAACTTTGCCTCTATTTGATATACAGTTACAGAATGTGCATTCATTAGTGCCCTGAAGGAAACCCACTGAAAAAAAAACAACTAACACGTCTGTTTTTTTCCAGATCATTGCATTTGATGAGCTCGGCACAGACTTCAAAAACCCCATTGATCAGAGCAATCCCACCAGAGCGGTAAGAACCATGCTGCTTCACTTCTTTCAAGCTGATCAAACCCTTGTGTGCACACAGGAATCCCACCTTTTCCTTTCCAAGAAGAACCTTTACTGAACTACACATAAATGCTGCGAACAAATCCAGGGTTTTACCCCCAAAATGTTGCATTTGACCTTTAATCTATCAGCCAATATTAAAAATGTCCAAAGCAGAGATCAAAACCTCCTTAAAACACACAGACTCTACGTTTTTACAGATTACCCCTCTATTATCCTAAAGTAGCAAGCACCCCTTTATATAAATGCAGTTTTGTGATTTTGGAATGAAATCTTTCAAATGTTTTATTCAGCTGCAGTTAGTCCTTTAAATGTTTGTTTTCAAGGAAAACTTGTTTGTATGCAGATTGAGACAATCAACCTTCTTTAAATACAAAAAAGAGCAAGGAAAATAAAGCTGCTGTTCACACAATGAAATACTCAAATAAGCGCATATACTTGGTTTCCCTCACTGTAACACAAACTAAAAAGTCACATCTGAAAGTCTCTGTCTCATTCCTTTGCAAGAACAGACAATATCAGCACCGTGAGTCAAGAACGACTGCCATTATTCATTTAGCAAGTTAACAGCAGCTGTGAATGTCTTTTTCACAAGTTAGCTAATGTTCCAGCAATCATGTGAACCTGCATCTGAACTGCAGCGTGAGAGTGATGAGGAGTGGGAGAGGACACTGTGAAAGCAGACCGGGGGTGTGGAGGCACGCCGCCAGCTACAGGGGGGTGGACACAATAACTGCAACACCTGTACAAAATATAATGCAACTGAAAACAGAAGCTGTCCAAATACTGATGTTAAGGAGTAGATGTGTTATTTCTGACTAATATAAATCATTAGAGGACAGGTTGGGGTTTTCCCTTTCCTGTAGTGTGTGGTTTGTGTGCATGTAAATGGTCTGCAAAGGCTAACATCCCAAAGTTCCCTCCAGAGGGAGTTTCTCTCCCACACTCAAACCTCTGCCTGAAACGCCCCCATTGGACTCCTTTGTTGATTTTCGTAACATAGTGAGATCACTAGGTAACTCTTCTATTGGCTATAATCCACCATTGTACGTGATAAACTAAGGGAGGGACATCTCTAAGCGGTTGACCAATCACAACAGAGCAGACCAGCTAACCAATCAGAACAGACCGGGCTCTGGTTTCAGAGAGAGGGGGAAAGAGGTGCTGGGGGAGGGGCCCATTTCATCAACAACTGTACATGTCACCATGTGAGATGTGTTCAGATAGAATATAAACTGCTGGTGTGTTCCGCTGCTACCAGATTCAATAAACTGCACAAACAGAAGAAAACATACCTGGCAACAGCTTCGGAAAATAAACAGCAATTATTTCTGATTTGAGTGAAGAATTGTCGTAACTCAACTGCTGCCGTCTGTGAAAAAGACGTGTGACATTCCAAATGAACACAACAGACTAACCAACACATGTTTCCTCATCAGGTTCCTGTGCAAAGCCTTCCATCACAGTTGCAGTATAAAAGAGAGACAAAGTGTTTGGCTGCTTGACAGAGGAGGGACTGAAACGTAGTATTATTCCTTCTGGCTAAGCCTTTGAAAAGAGCTTGCCAAATTGCTGCAGTATTTTACCTCTCCATTAAATAGCACATTACAAAAGTCAAGCCCTTGACCTTTCCTTCATTTAAAGCCTTCTTTATTGGTGGAACCAGTTGAATCAATTATATTGTTCTCTCCTGCCACTTAAATAGAGTACGTATTATTCTCTGTTCTTGACTACTCTCTTTGCCGTTTATTTCTTTGACTTGTTATGCACACTGTGAAATGTCCCCAATGCGTTTGATTCATGTCTAAAGTCGTGTTTCGCTTATTGCAACAATAACGAAATGCATAGTGCAGTTATGACCTGTAACTAATTAGGGCAGTTTCCAAGTTGGAAATCTAAACACATACAGGAGGACAATAATTTGTAAGTGCGATTACTAACCATAACATGTCAAATAATTTAGCCGGCACGTCAAATTAAATTCTAAACACTTTGTCTCGGGGGCAAATTGAAGAGGCACGTAGTACATTCATGGAAATTAAGAAACAATTACTTTCATAAAGAAAGGAGCTAACTTTACACATCAGTCCATCGTTGTGGTCTTTACATTTCAAAGTGTCATTGAAGGACAAAGCACACAATAAGAAATTGACAAAAACCAACATCTGCAAATGGACAGTGACGCTGGAGAGCCGGCGTCGGTCTTGCACGCTGGATGTTGTGGATTCAGGGCAGAATCTACTTTCAGGTCACCGAGGGAGTTTGAATTCATGTCCACAGTTTGAGAGAAGGTGCAGTCTGTGCCTCGGGCCAAAGGGAATCGACATCACACAGCCTCCATTCTGGAAGCCAACATCCTGTAACTTAGACAGATGTCTTAAATATGTCCCAACATGAGTAAGAGAGTCTTTCCAGCTGAAGCTATCTATAGCATAGCAATGCTGCTTATCCAATCACAGAGTGAATGAAGCAAAACAAATAAAAGATCCATCTGGTAATTACCTAGAATATTGGTTCTTTTCTTTGGTCAATACCAATCAGAGAATAATGTAGATTGATGAATTACAGCACAACATCTCATTTGCCTAGCTAATGAATAAACACCCAAATAAAAGATCAGCGTTGAGGCCCCTAGGTGCTGGCTATGGAAGATAAATGGCTTTCATTTGGAGAAAATGATCACTGAGCTCTCTCACAGCTCTCAGGAGACAAGAACATGTGACCTCTACTGAAAATGGCTGATGTTCTTTATGTGTTGATGGAAAATATCCATAAAATGGTCTTTCTCGACAACCCATAATTACGTTTTTCGCTTAGTTGCAAGGGGATTTTTTTTCATTATATAATGGAAAGCAACTTAAGAATTTGAAATGGAAAATTACGTTGTTTTGGCAGTAAGTTATTATTCATTATATGTATTTTCCAGCCATATCTGTAATCATAGCCAGAGCACTGACATTTAGGCAGGATTCTCTTTGTGTTTGAAAGCTCTCATCAGATCTAGCTTTTGCATATTGTTGATGCGTCAGTGAAATATGTCAACAATTGTCAGCTTTAAACAAAAGCATGTGTTATCTCTGCCTGGAGATTTTCATGGGAGATACAAGAAGTAGGTAGGATGAAGAAATATGCAGACCATTAACCAGACGTTCCTTACATTTGCAGAGGGAAAGGATTCTCAACATTGAAAGAATCTGCAACCTGCTCCGCAGAGTGAGTAATCGTTTTGTACTTCTTTTTTCTTGTATGTTTTTGTTTTGCTGCTGGTGGATGACTAAAACAGAGGGGCTTCACGCATGACCATTTGACTTTCTAGCTATTGTGAGGACCATGACGCACTCTGATTAATGTCACATGTAGCTTTTCTGTACATGGACATAACTGTAACTGGACATTCAGTTACACCGTCAAGGTTCTGTGTGTTGTGATGGATTTCTGTTTCCATTTCAAGGCATTCAAAAAGAGAACTTGATGTCCCTGAAAATAAATGTGACTTGCTGTGGAGGCCATTTTGACAATTTATGTGTTGAGTTTTAAATAAGCTCAACTAATCATTAAAAAATAGAACAGTAAAGTTTGATGTATTAGAGATGGTAGCATGCTAATGGTAGTAATCCACATACATTTAAACAAAGTATAGTTTAATCTCATAAATTCAGAATCACAATTTGAACCATAATGCATTTCAATTGTGTGAAAATCGTTTTTTTAATGATTTGAATTAAGAGTTAGTCATGGGATACACTGGGGTTAGTAGATAATGCTTAAAACATAAAGAATACATGAATGTGTTAAAATAACAACTTTTCTAAACATAAGTGCAGTAAAAAAAGTGGAACTGAAATGTTTTATTTATTTTTGACTTATTGAAATGATTCTCAAAATAATTGAGGTAATAATTTGTATGGACATTTTTGAGGATTATGGAATTACATAAATAAATTATAATAGCTTATATAAAGTCATTTTATCATTTAATACCACCACAACTTTTCAATTAATATTAAGTTGGTTCAACTCAATAAAGCTTTTAAAGTTCAAAGCAAATAAGTTTGGTTAGACAGAACATACTTGTAGGATCAACTACAACTCTTCAATAATGAGAAGAGTTGGAACTACTTACAATGATATTGTTTTGCCACAGAGTTGCACTGAAGGGAGCTTATGTGTCACAAATATATACCCACTCCACTACTATATCATTGAAAAAGAAATGAGTGGACACGTGTGTTAATTATAGTCTATACGAGAAATGTTATTTATAACGATAGTCTTTAACTGTTGCAGAGAGAAACCATTTGAAAAGATTTACACATTACATATTCAAAATTGACTTTTAGATTTTTGTTTTGTATTTTGACATGTAGTTTTTACTTCTTTATTCAGTCTCAGGGTTAATCTCAGGGTTCAAGCCAACCCAGCCTTGAGGGTTATTCCTTTATTAACCAATAAGTTGTGTCCCATCAACAATATTGCCAATAAGAGTGGTAACAATTGATTGGAGCAGTTAAAGGTTGTTGTTTAAAACAAAAAGAATGATGCCAATTTAAAATTCATTGTTTGCAGAAGCTGTAATAAACATCAACCAAACAGCAGACCAAGTCAGCAACTGGTTTGTCAATAAATAGTTTTTAAAAAGTTGACCGTGATGTCATCCATTGGTTTGTGGCCTCATTTTACAAAACTAGACGAGGTCATCCAGCAGTGAGTCTGCCTCCAGTTGTTCCCACATTTTCGATAATCCAGGGTTACCAATGGGTCTTGACCCATTTCTGCCAATCGATCAAATTGTTTTGTTAGGAGCCAGAAGCGATGTAAATAAAATACAGGTTTCTGGCAGATATGCATTGGTTTCACTATTCAGACCCTTAGGCTATGTCCACTTCTTTTATCGAGCCTATGATTTCTACGTACCTCTCAAAAGCAGTGAACATGTACGTGAAACTATATTTTATCCAGTCTTTTACTATATTTGCATCCGTAACAGTAAGTTATTTGTAACATTTACACTTTCTGTGTGAAAGTCTTTGCCTTGCAGTGTGATTCTGGTTTTATCGAGTGTATCCAACATCTAGCCCATGCATTTTTCAGTGTTTTCCCCGCAGTTGTTGAAGAGCGATTACTCATGAGTGTTATGTTACGCAGACCTATCTAACCTGCCTCCCTGTGCCTGCTCTGGTTAGTTGGTGGTACCGGAGTACTCCATCCACGGGCTCTTCTGCTTGATGTTCATGTGTGCTGCAGAGTGGGTCACACTTGGCCTAAATGTCCCACTTCTCTTCTACCATCTCTGGAGGTAAGGTCCCATAACATATGTCTGACATGCTTTTGTATATCTGGTGCGCGCGTGAGCCAAAAGTCTCTCTTTTTTCCAGGTTTCTTCATCGGCCAGCTGACGGCTCAGTGGTCATGTATGATCCTGTCAGTGTGATGAACGCCGACATTCTCAATTACTGCCAGAAGGAGTCCTGGTGTAAGCTAGGCTTTTATCTGCTCTCTTTCTTCTATTATCTCTACAGGTCAGTACAAATTCACAATCTTCTCAATTCACAGATGCTTGATTAGGTTTCAGTGATGGCTTTCAGATTTTCTTGCAATGTTCTGTGACCTTAGTTGCAAAAGAGAAGCGCAATTACAGTTTTCTCCGTATTTTCCATCTATTGCCGTGGACTTTTTCCTGCTGAAGTATGGTCTACTCCTTGATCAGCTTCTAGCAGACAGGATATCTGGAGAAATAAAAGGACGTATCAGTAAGAAAGACTCAGAGGAACAAATGGAGACATTAACTCTTCCTCTCTCCATGTATCTTTCCCGACACTGGCTTGAGTTGTCAACAGTTTAACATTGGACAAACACAAGAAGACTTATCTGAGTGATCATTTGAATGTAAAGGACTCCATTATATCACTTTGACCCAGACCATGCTGTCAGACGACTGGACAAAGTTTGAAAGGACTGAAACAAAACAGAAAGAGGACGCGTCAGGTGTGTTGCCTTTGAACCATTATACGAATCAACAGTACATCTCTGAAGGGCTGGAGTTTTCCCATGCTGCTCTTACTGATCCAGTCGCTCAACTCACTGTGAATCTCCAAACACTTAGGGGCTGGAAAACGAAATAACATGTCTGTATTCTTTGACTTTGAAAATGTACTAAGAGCAGGGTTGTTTTAGTAAGATTACATGTGCTTAAGATGAGAGACATCTGTATTATCAAACCACTGCTTTGATTGTGTTAGAGGTGCATATAACTGTAAGAAACAGGTTCAAGTGTATAGGAGGACTTTAAAGCACTGTAAGCAATTGACACGGCTGGCAGGGGAATGGAGATGAACCAACACAACATCTCCTTGACGCCACCCCCTACCAAAAGTCAAATGTCACACTGTATCTAAAACAACGAGGAATAATTATAACTTTGACCGCGAGGGTCAGTGCTTGTGATGTGCATTTCATAATAGGTATGTCCATACATGTAGGGATGTATTTTAGCTACAGGTTCATGCTTTCCAAAGAGCTTCGTGCTCAGACATTTAATGCCAAAACATATATCTGAAAAAAACATTGTGCCAAATCAATTGGGGCGAGTGAAAGGAAACTAATAGTGTGGCTTTTTCAACTACATGCTAAGGCACTGTCAAGTTCTGTTCTCTATTTTCACTTTCTGTAACACACATTTCATTTTGGCACAATGTTTTTTAATTGATGAACATTTAAAAAACATGTAGATCTGTTGTGGTTTGTTTTTTTTAAGTGACCTTTTTCCAGTTTATTCTAACTTATCAGCATCTATACTATTGTCGTTTTTAGCACAGCAAATGTACTCTGATGTGAGGTAGAATGTAGAAATCTCATGTACAAGAAGCAATGAAAAACAGCAAACAAGCAATGTGATTGGATTGAGAAGACATTTCCATGCAGTGTTATTTATGTATGTAATAACGGCGAGTGGGATACAAGCGGCAGACGAGACAATTAATGCCTATGACAATGTTTCCGTTTTTCTCAGAAGTGTAAAGGCAGTGATGTCCTCTCATCACGTCTGCAATCATACAGACAGAAGTGACATGCTGCTAATGATGGAGATTCGTAAACAGTAAAGCCTTTCCTCAACTAGCCTTTGTTATCATGTGTTCATTAGTTTGATCTGTGAGTAGATAAGTGATGGTTCAAATGTGTGATTTTAAACATCAGTAGAAAATACAGAAGATACTGGACCCTGAGAACAAACTGTGTTTGTCATACGCCCGACACGTAGTAAATGGTGGCAACAATTCATTGATGCAAGTTTTAGTATCACTAATATTCAGGATGTTCTTTCAACCCTAAATACAGATCACAGTTAAGTCATTATTATATGTACATAAATCATTTTCAAATTGTGTGTATGTTAGCCTATGACAGGTTGAACTACATTTCAATTGGAAGCAGAGATAGAATAAGGCTGGCATATTTATAAGTTAGTTGGTGTCAATAAATCCTATGAGAAGACTTAAACCAATGTGTATTTCGTTTCGACTCCCCTATTCTGTCTGTGGACCTCAGCCCCAAAATGTGTTCCTAAAGTGTGAAAGAGGTTAAAAATATCTTATTTAATCTTAAAGGGTAAATCATTTCCAAGCTTGGTACTATTGTTTTCAGAAAATGTCACTCAAAGAAATGTGAAATGGAGCATTTCATGGGGCCTATTTTCAGCAGGGGATTGATACACATTGCTGCACTAGTGAGTATTTACCATTGACTTTATTTGCAGCAGGACCCTGACGCACCAAACATCCTTCTTATCTTATATAATATCCTCAGTCTTGTCTTTTAAATACGAAGTTGATTCCAAATTAAACAATGTTTTAAAAAATAATGCTTTCAAAACAATATTAAAATGTCCTCTGTAGTGAATGCTTCTTACAGATTAAATGATATGACACTAATTAAGAAATCTGTGTGGTAGAGCTTCACCACAAACAAGTCCTGTGTCGATCACAGTCTGTTTTTATGTCACTTTGGAACAAATGAAGGGTTTTAAAAGAACAACTCTTTTGAGAATTTCAACCAAACTGCAGCAACTTTAATAATCTTCTGTGAGCGTTTTTGCACAGTATCAACACTCTGCCAACAATATGAGTGTATGGAGTCTGGACAATCACTATTAAAGCACAGTAACACGAGGACAACATGAGAACTGCCGCTTGGTTGAATGTCATTATGTAGTTGCTCTAAACAAAGCATTTTAGAAAATTGTATTTGAGTATATGTATTTGTATCCGTCTTTTATACATTTGTCATCAATGTACGCTACAGTGAATTTGGTGGATTATTTTATATTTATTAGGTTACACTATGACGTACAGTTAATAAAGCGATTCTCATGCCGTATTCTAATAAAACAGTTGCCAAAAAAAGATCATCTCCAAGTTTCTTACTTCCTGTCTGCTGACGGTCAGTGTCTTTTGGCCATCTGTGCGGAGTTTTGCAGACGTGCTGTTCTGCCAACACCAGAGATGAACTGGAAGAGAGAAATATAACTCTGAGGATGATGAGGCTTGTTCGAAAGCGAGAATACTGAGTGGTGCATTAGACGGAGGATAGCACACAAAGGGCCACATCAAAAGCTGTCGAAAACAGCTGCATTCAGAAGTGGTTTCAGAGACATTCGCACAAGCTCTTAAAAAGCACCAAAATAACTGAATTCCATGAACAGTTTGCTGATGTAAAAAGAGCTTCTAGTAGAGAGGCGACAAATTGAGGATGAGAGCCTTTCATTAATGTCTGCATCACAAGAATACTGTACAGAACATCCAATTATAGAGCTCTGGATAGCTATTGGTTTGGATAACAAAAGTAATTTGACACAAAAGAACATGTATATCTCCACAGAAAGAGATTACTGATGAAATGAACACTGCAGCTTTATAACATTTAGCATTTTTGACACTTTTGTGCAGGGCAGTTTTCTTTATTCTGCATTGAAATGGATGAAAGGAGAGGCAGCAGGTAGTTAGCAGTTGAGTCATTTGTCGGGTCTGTAATGTTTGCCAGGTCTAAACAATGATTCAGACAGAGCAACACCAATGGCGTTTTCCCTCTGTTGGAAAAGGACATATCATTCCCTGTCCATTTGCTGTCACCATGGAAACTAAATTGTATTAGAAATTCCTGTTGACTCACTCGGAGGCTCTCACTCTAAACACACAGAAAACAATTCAAGTTCACATGCCTGGGAGCATTTCTTTTCTGTCTCTTTTTAATTCATATTCCATCCGATGCATATGTAACAGGTTCATATATGTAGTCATGACGACCACAATCCCCTTTTTTTTCTATGCATGACACCTGCTTCTCCCAGGATACACACAGCAACACACACACGCAACACATGCATCTGCTTCCCGTCTTGCCTCCTCCCACGGTTCGCACCGTTTCACACTCTCAATCCCGGGCTCTTCCTTTTTCCAGCACCCTCCACCACCATAATTGTCTCAGCGCCTTTCCCTTCCCTCCTACGTCTGTGCTCTCAGAGAGGTGTTACCATGGAAACTGGCTACAACTGATGGAGCTGAAACGTCACGATTGGCATACAATTGGCAAGTGCACGCACAAGGCAGAGTTGCATGCATGCAGACACACACATGTTGTCTATTCATTATTATGCAAGACACTCCGGGATGTTGCATACTATTATGGATGTTCAGACATGCGTACAGAAGAACATACAGTGTATAACGGCAACATTTCAGAGGCAGAAAGCACCATTTCAGGAATTGATTTCGTTAAATAAGTGTATTTTGACATGGCTATTGAAGGGTGAGAATGGGAAAAGGGAAAATGGAAAATGACCACCTTATTCACAAATCAAATCTGGTTATTACATTTACACAAAGTCTATTTACATGTATTGACATGCTGTTGCGTTTTGTTTTTTTGATTCCTAAAATAAAGGAGCCGATGTGCTTGCTGCTGTGTCCAAGGATATGTCAAACCTGTTCACACTTGTGTTTTTATTTAACAGCGGATCGTCTGTACAGACAAAAACCTGTGACAGTGACTCAGATGTTGTCTCATTTCTATAAAAACCCATCTCTTCTATCTGTAACTAGAAAAAAAATCAATGACTTGCCTTATTTTTTACAAAGCTTGACATTGTATTTGTCAATAATGTGCAAATTACTTTCTAAAACCAATCACAAAAAACGTCCTTTAAAATGTGTTTATCCTTAAACTAAGAACTAAATCAGCACACCATTTATAAACTAAAGTGTCTGTAGGCACGCTGGTGTCTTTTGTTAAGACAAGTTGAAGTTGTTAATACATGATCGAACTCCTGAAATGTTTGCCAAGATGATTTAAAAACTATTGTAATGGTCTTGCAACTCAATTTAAGATATCGTGATAAGATCAAATCAGAACATATTTGAATGGGGGGTTTATATCTGAGGTATCGCTGAGCTCCTTTTGCTCTCAGTAAAGACCATGACAGTGTCTTATTTTGCTCCTGTTGACAAACTATTGTATATTGATCAATAAAAACTTGGAGGATTTTATTCCTGTTACATTGTTTTACTATTATTACTGAAACCAATCTATCAGATTCAGATCAGATGTATTATATGTCAATGCATCATGTTTTACTGATATGTAAAGTAACATTTATTTTATAAAAATGTCTCACAGTATGCAATACTTTGTATTTTGAAACAAAAAAGACAATAAAGTCCAATAACACAAAAGGATAGCTATGACACCACGGCAGGTGCAACAAGTGCTATGAAGTCACATTCAAAATGCAGTTCCTTTAGAATCTACAGCGGAACAATTAACAATTAATCAATAAACCAAAACACACAACCCAGATAAACGTTTTAAATGCCAAGTTCTTACAAAACGTGTTATGGCAACATTTGCAACCCTGACAATTAGGATTGTTGTACTCACATGTCCGAATTAGAGACTTGTGTACCAACAGTCCTCCTCTGCTCCCGCTTCAACTTCCCTGCTGTTCATTTTCATTGCATTAAATATACAGTCCACTTAGCTTCTCTGTCCCACTATAACCAATCCCAGTTTCAATTTCACAATGACCTCAACCGATACAAACATCAGAAAGGCCTCATTGAAGGCTCCCGAGTGAATGCTGAGCATTTAGCATAACATTTAGCATGCCGGACCCACCATCTGTGTGTTTGATTAAGAGTGGTTAATAGATGGTGAATTAAACCAGTGATAAATGAACAGAGATATCACTTTTAATTTCAGTCATTTTTTAATATTGCATTGTCGTGCTGTTCACAAACTGCTAGCCCCACCCAGGGTGAGACCACACATCCCACACCCCTTTATGTCAGTGAGTACTTGAATGAACATCTCTCTTGAACTGTGCCTACCTGCAGCTGCAGACTCGCAGCTTCTTCTCTGCTGTTTATACATCCCTTTTCTTATCTTGTCCATTTCACGTTTCCTTTATGTGACTTATATTTTGACTCTGAAACAGATGCAACTTCAAATTTAGCAAAGCACAATACCTCAAATGTGTATAATAGTTTAGTAAAAGTAGCCATTTGTTTACTTCCCTTCATTGATTTCAGCACCATCAAATGTAACAATTGGAATATGCGTTATTATCTGCTAGGTACCACATAATACAAGAGCAGTATAATAAACAACATTGGGGAAAATAAATATACAAACAGTACACACACCTAGAGTACAACCTGAGAATATTGTTAGTTATTTCATCATGAATCCAGCCACCATGAAGGCACTGGCTGGCAGCATTATACAAGCACATAATTAGCACTAAGTAACATGAAAAACAACACAAATAGCTTGAGTGCTGTGTAAACAAAGCTAGGGGCCAACTGCACTGTTAATGGGCTTAAAGGGTGAATATAAGGTATTAGTATATGCATTAGTGGAGGGCTCTTTCTTACGTATGCGGACACCTCACTGCAATGTGACAAATATTATTTGCAGTGTATATGCACAGGGTTATAATTGAAAAAGGGATTATATGCAAACAAATTGGGGGTCTTTTGCAACAAATTAGAGGTCTAAATCTGTTTAAAAAAAGGTAAAAACAGGCAATCTCCATCATTAAAATGCCAAGTTGCTGGCGTTTATATATTATGGAAGATGTACTTCTCAGTAACCACCTATTCAAAGAACTTTCCTCAAGGTGAGGCAGCAGTCCATTCAAAATACCCTCCCACACAGTGAATGAACCTGCTCTTATTCAACGCTTCAAGTAGGAGCACGGCGTTAATGATTATTGAGGCCTTTTCTAAGGAGCCTCTGACAGCAGTTACTAATGCAGCCCATATACGTATTGTTCTCTCAGAGACTAGTAATTAGGGAACAGAGCAAATTGAAAGCTGAAGCCTGACACATAAAGCCCAGCGGCTCGGAGAACGTTTGCCATTAAGGTTTGAACACGGGAGAGAGAAGCCATTTAAGCAGGATGATGATAACAGGTTGGAAAGGTTATTACGAACTCACATAGCTGTTAGCAGCCATCTGCACAGACTCAAAAAGGCAAACGTATAAATAGTCATACAAACATTTCAGCCCCCCGGAGCGCTTTCCCGGACATTCACAGTCTGCGAGGTGAATGAAATGATGAGAATTTATTTTTTAAATGAATTTTACAAACACGCTTTCAAAAAAAGTAGACATTGTAAAAAAACAAGCATGATAAAAATGCCTTTTATTGAAATAAGGCACTAATGTTTTTATGGAATTGCATTTCATCTGTCATTTTTCTAGGGTTGTATTTTCCAATTAAAAATGTATTTTATTTTCTCATGTTTACAAAAACTCATTTTCTTATCTCATTTTTATGAGAAAGAATCCCAAGGCCTGTGCTGTGTTTGGATGTACGGATTAACCGTTATCAGACTCCTATGAGCTTTCAAAATCAATATTCAACAACTTAGAAAATAGTGATCCAGTGAACATCATTTCGTATTTAAACCTGCAAAAGCACCAGATATTATTTGTGGTCTATGAAAGTGAAAATGGATTCACATTTCAGATTATTGCTATGTGGACTTGAAGGATGTTGTGAGACAGTTTTGGTCCTGTTCCAGCCATCTGCTCTGCCGTTTAGTAGACATAAGGGAAGATCCTGTAGGGGACACGTTGACAGTATGTGTCCCACGCTAGTCCGTATTTGGCCCTGCACTGTCTCTCATCACGGTCCTCTCGGTGAATCAGCAACACGGCGAAATATATGACATAAAAGTAAGGCAGGAGATGTGAGAATCCTAAAGAAAAGACGAGAACACATGAAATGTTAGCAAGAGGAAACTAACAATGACAAAGTGAAACTATACCCTATATAATTCACAGAGGACTGTATTCATTTAAATAGATAATGACACCTTTTTCCACTAATAATATCATTGTTCGTGATGTGAATGGCATCAGAGAAGATGTAATCAAGTGTGCATCCTCCTCTGAAAATAGCTGAACATTTCCTTTTCAATCTGTCAAGAGCCCTGAACTGAATACAAGTTTGATTAAGCTCCAAGTGTTTATTCTCCTAAATGCTCATTTGAGTTTTTCAGAATAACACCTTTTTGTCCTTCAGTCAGGGTCTGGATGTGACCACTGTTCCACTTTCATACGTCTGGAATACGCCGTCATGATTTCTTTTTGATTGTATAGTTTAGCAGTATGTGACTTTCTTACAGCAGCATTCAAGGCAGACACTACAGTACATCTCAATTACAAAAGCAGCTACACAAGTGAGTCATATAGAGTTTGAATACCGATGAGCAGAATGTGTCAGCTGTGACAAAAGTCTGACAGCAGCCAGAAGAGGAAGTGAGTTTTCAAGGGAACATAAGGCAGCTTACGGAGGAACAAAGAGAACACATTGTTGCTGCCTCTATGGCTTCTGCATCCCTCACAAACAGGGTGTAATTATCTAATAAGGCAAGGAAGGAAATAAGATACATTTGTGGTTGCTGCTGAAATGTCTTAAAAAGGCACTGAATATCGTGAAATGTCAGAAACTGAAGGTTGGCATAGAAAGAATATCAGATTCTTAATTTTGTTCCCCTTTTTTGTCATGTAGTTCCTGCTTTAAAGCAATTATAAATTGATATTTTCAAAGCAACAATGGATCACATCATTATTTTTAATGGGGAAGGGATAAACCCACAGAAACCTAGGTTGTCAAAAATAGCAATATCGATTTAACTTGTTAAATATAGACAGATTTTAAACAGCTAAAATACAACAGTTACTTTAGGAATTTAGGATACTAACAATTAGGGAAATCATTTTTTATATTCTTTCCTTGATCAAGCCATAAACTGTACACAAAAGGCACCAATTAAAAGTAAGATGTTACATTTCAAAATGCTGTTTTTAAATCACACGTTTCACATCGCAATGACGATATATTAAAACACTGTTTTGCACAGCCCTAATATACACATTGGTGCATGCACACATTACATTTCTAGCAATAAATCCATCTGGATACGATAAATCACCAGTCTGAAATTCTCTCATCATTTCTTCTCCCTAACGAAGACTCAAAGAGATTGTGCCGTGTCATTGTGGCCTGCATGCAATAAGAGCCTTGCACAGGCTTCAAAGATGTCTTACCACATGGCAGGGACCAGGCGAGGGCCATGAGGAGGTCCCCGAGGTAATTGGGATGACGAACGAGACCCCACCAGCCAGACACCAGCAGCCGCTTCCCTGTTGCTGTGGCGATGGTCTCCAATCCTGCGAAGAAACGCGTCAATATTTAGATATCTAGAAGAACAAATCACTTTAGAGATCATACCCAAAGGTATTTAGAGCACGAGTTGAGAGACATACAAATAATTAAGTTGTGAAAGACAAGTTGGATCATTTGTCTTTTGTTTTATGTTTATAAAAAGGACTGACTTGCGACACTTGGATGTGTAGGGTCTCGTCTGAACTGGTTCTTCTGTGAGTTGGATTTTCTGAAGACATAATATCCAACACCTTGTGACAAAGAGACAAATGTTAACATCACCATATTTTTCCATGAATAAAACAGCCTGATAAAGAAGCGAGCAAACATGATTACCATTCAGTGCTATAATGGCTGCTGCTCCCAGTGAGCTGAGGGCCTGGGGGTGCACCACCAGGAAGGCCGCCTGCATGCCGTACGTGAAGGGGACCCAGGCCAGGTCCCCGAACACCAGCATGAAGCCAAAACCATCATGCACTATGTCCATGGTGGTCAACACGGCCTCCTGTTTAAACACAACAGTTCATGGCATGAGGGTTATTTGATCTGTTATTTCATTTGTTTTTCTGACAGGGTCAGTGCACCTAAATAGACATTTCTGTAGATGCGACAGAGTTAGCCAAGAGGTTATTTTTCATCTGTCGTCCCTGGACAGATGTTGTAAAGCATGGGGGTTACTAAGGGGAGGCTAACAGGGGCCGGTGCCTCTTTAACATTGAGCTTGGACCCCCCTGTGGCCCCCCTCCAAAAGAAGAATACAATTTGTGATAAGTATTTTATACTGAACAGAGTGTTTCAAGTGTTGAAATCTTGAACACTGTCTTTGTCTCCTTTTTCCACTCAATGTGCCTCTTTCATAAACAATCTGGCCCCTGCACGTGTTATTGGTTTAAAATCGCCACTGTTGTAAAGTAACCCTAAAAACAATGGATTTTAAATGCAAAATAACAAGTTAATACAATCAGAGTCCTACAATACAAAAAACAACAACATACATGTTAAAAAATCAAGATGGTAGCCATAGGTTATAGCGGTACCTAGAGTAAAGAAAGAGGGCAGTACAGTGCACTTTTAGGGTTGACGGATCAGATTGATAACTTACCAGTTTATAAAGTAAAACAAAAATAAGAAAATAATAGCTACAAATCTCTCTGGTGCGCCACTTTTGAAATATCTGCAGGGGGGAAATCATAATTGAATAATGACAGAAGAATTTAAAGCATGATCTTTGTTTCTGTTACCTCGTTCCACAGAGCGTCCGCCACATACAGCAGCTGGAAACTGTTGACCAGTATCATGGCGAGAGACGGGGACCCTCGGAGCTCCACCTCCTTCATCAGCATGCCCAGGTTTATGACCACCTGAGAGGTAAAAACTGATTAGCATCACTAGTTAGGAAACATTTTACACTGGCACTTCTTGGTAGTCAATCTCAATATACGATAAATGGATAAGATGGAAAAAAGTATTTGTCCAGTCATCTAAAACACTCAGAGACTGACACAAAAACAGCACCCAACACGGTCAAATCCAGAGATATATCGTACAGGTTTACCTAATAAATGTACAATTAAATTAGATCACATTAAAAAATTACGTTCTAAGATTCCAGCTGTGGGACCTGTTGCATGTCACCTCCTCACTTTCAGCCTGCCTCTACACTTTTCCTTAAAAATACATCATATTTGAGATTTCATTACGCTGAGATTTTTATCCAAAGCAACTTACAATGAGTGGAATAAACCATGAAGATACAACTCAGATCAATTTTACCGGGGAATTTTCTTTAATTAAAAATAACTGTTGAAAGTTTCCATGATTTGGGGAAATCATCAGTCAGCTCATTGCATGTCAAAATATTTGTACTTTAGTGCATTGTGAAGTTATATTTTACATGATATTTAAATAAAGACCGTTTTCTCTCTCTGAGCCTTGGACAACCATTCAAAATGCAGCATCTAATAAATCATCTTTTCATTTGTGCTCCTGAAAGGGACTAACATTACTCACGCCTAGATCAAATGCAGGGAGAGTAAACATTTAAGTCTCTATTTATGAAGAAGCATGTTACTCTGGCTCGCCCTTGGCCTCGCAAAGACTATGAACTTCATTTGAATTAAAAACATAAGAACATTTAGGAGACTTTTAAACATTCAACAGGAAGCAGAGAACTCCCACACACTGTCTGTAGCCAGTTGGTGGAAGCTTTTTCTGTCCTCTCCTACGCACCTGGCCTCATAAGATTCACATGTGCAAAGGTTTTAAGAAAAATAAAGGGCTCACTACTTTGACAATGTACAGATCATTTGACTGCCTCCAACAATGTCTCTATGAAAAAGAAAAACTGATCGGGCTTTGAGTGGCTAGAGAGGGGCTTTGTTAAAGCAGGCCATTTAGCATTCCCACTGGCATTTCACATTATCATTCATTTAGATAGATGACTCAGACACAGGTAATGATGCCTGCCCTCCAACAAATGCTCACTGTGTCAGGTCATCAGGGAGAGAAGTTCTGATTCATATTATGATGCTAGAACAACATCGCCCCCTGTGGGTCTTTTTGGGCTCTCTTAAAATCACCATTAAGAGTTAAACAATGTTCACAACTACAGTATGTCATTTAAGGTTTTAGTTTTAAGCACTACATTTTGAATAGCAGGTATTTTTTCTTTATAAATAAATGCTTTACTGAATTGCTTTCTATTTGTAATAGAAAATGACAGCTGGGGCTTAAAACATTTTCTTAAAGGTCACCTATTATCCAAAATCCTTTTATACATCAACATGTGTCCCCTCTGTGTAAAGAGATTCTGAAAGTTTCAGGAAAAAAGACCCACTCTCTTTTTGTCCTGATCCATTTATATAATAACCTGTCTGGAAATGAGCTGATCAGATTTTGGCCACTTGGACTTGTGTTTGTTTGGGTTGTATAACCATTGGCCAATAGCCAACCAAGGTTATATCCGTTAGCGCAGCTAGCACCAGATTCTAATAACAACAGCGCCGGTACCGGTGCGCCCTCTCTCTCTCTCCCTTGCTCGCTCCCACTTTGGCTGTGAACTGCGGGCGCCAGATAAGCCAACATCCCCCACTTTCATCACTTGCAGCACCCATCGTACAGGGCAAATAAAAAGTGTAACCGGGGTGAAAATGGTGTTACATTTACTTAATTATGAATGTTGTTACATCAAGGCCGAAAATTAGGATGAGCACCAACGGTCAAAAATGTGTTTTCCCCTCCCTGAGCTGTCAGCGCAGCGCCCCCCAGATCTGGCGCCCTAGACGACCGCCTATGCCAAAAATCGGCCCTGCCAGTACATACAGTGGCAATGTCTCAAGATTTAGCAAAAATACACCTTTATTGAACATACAGTAACACAAATACTACAAATACACATAACAAACAATCAAAATGAAAAAGGGTCGCCACTTATTTTTTTTATTTAAAAAAAAAAAGTTAAATAAATGTATTTATTTATTTATTTTTTGGGTACCTGGCTGGAGCCCCCTAGCAGCGGCGCGCATATTTCAGCATCCCCCCCCCAAATCACCTGAATCTCCTCCTAGAGCACCATGAGTTTTTTCAAACCAAATAGGTGGATTTAAGGAGCATGGGGCGGGGGGGGCAGTTCATTTGTATTTAAAGCTACAGACACAGAATCAGCTCTTTTGGAAACAGAGGGGTTTATGGGATGCTACAATGCATCTGTTTGGTATTTCGAGCCAAACACTTCAGAGACATGTTTGTATATATCTGAGACCTATAATACATTGTTGAAAAAGTACATAATAGGGGAGCTTTTAAGTAAATTGTAATTTGAAGGTAAGAGCCTATGAAGCTACAGTGCATTTAATACAAAACACCTCTTTGCACTTAGTCAGAGGTAGTTTCACATCTTTGTGACCTCAACATAAAGTACAGTATATATGAACTGTTTATAACCTTTGTAACATAAGCTTTTCTAAACTTGTAATATTGGGATGTGAATTGATCGTGCTGTCCTGCAGAATGACTCACCCAGCCAATCAGACCCGGTCGCAGCTCACAGAAATATTTAAGGTCAAAGTTTCCAATCCGGGGGTTTAGCTCTCTTCCGATGAAGAAGTCATAAAGTGGATTTCCTGGAAAAACAGACAAATGAATGATTTTTCAAACTGTGTAATTGAAATGTCTGCAAAAAGTGAAAAGTCATTTAACATAAGGTTTACATGTGATGTAAGTCTGTCATGTCGTTAACTTCATCAGCAACTTTTTAAACAATATCAGTGGTCAGTTTATTGGCTTTTTCTGAAACCAGAAACAATGCTTTTTCAAAGCAGACATTCTGACACCAACATGTATTGCATTAATAAGGCTATATTCCACTTAGATGCATCAGTTCAATGGTTACATGCTGTGAAGAACAGCCTGTGATGTTCAATCCTCTGCATCTGTTATAGGCGATGAGAAGTGTTATTTGTGTAGCCTCATACCACCTGCCTGTCTCTGCCATCTCTCAGTTATTTTCAGCTATTTTCTACAGTTCTCAGAATGCCTTTGAACAACAACCAGAAAAGGAGAGACATTTTTTTGCTTTCAATTGCTTGAGTATGTCATGCAAGCAGCTCTGCAAAGCTGTACTTAGCCACAGCGTGCTTTGAGCATAATGTAGAATAAGCACTCAACAGGTAAGTATAGACTATAAGGTGAGCTGTAGGCAGTGTGGTAAATGTTTACTCAGAACTGGTACATTCGACAAAAATAGATACAGTACAAAGAAATGTGCATCTTTCTTTCATCTATCTCTAGAGCAAATGTATTCTGTTTTCTCCAACATACATTCACACATAGGAGTAGCTCAATAGCATAGCAGTGGCAACAACATGCTGATATTGTTTATTCAAAAACTGGAATGTTAGCTAGTTAAAGCTGAATCACAATGATGGATGTTCTCAGGTTTCTACAGAAGCAGCCGAGCACAGCAGGGGTAGCGAGGTCAGCTTACTGGAAAGAGTGTTCACTTGATGCCGTTAGATATATACTCCCAGGAATACCACAATTATTCAACAGACAATAAAAGAGCCCTGCAAATGCATCTCCAGTTTCAAAATAGTACTTTAAGGTGGGATTTGAACCTCCACTCTCACCCGTGTTGCCTCCCAAAGCGAGAGCATGAGAAGGAACCCAGAAGGAGCGGATGTAGAGGTAGAGGGAGAACAGGTATGACCCCGCTATCGCACACGCCGCCAGAGGCAACAGCAGCTCGAACAGAGACCCCAGAGGAGCCCCCAGCCCCAGCAACAACATGAGCAACACGCCGCTGATGCACAGGCTGTGGAAACCTGAGGGAGAGAAAACAAACACAGCTCAGTGCTGGTGCCCGGGGGGAAGGGATAAGCAGACTGACACAGTTGGAAAAGATGGAACCTTAGATTGTGTAACTTAAGTTAACTTTAGCTCAAGGTTGGATCAGTGTAGACTGTAGAGGTTAAAAGAAGATACATGACTCAAATGTATTTTGCATTGTACTACATTGCAGTATTACATTTGAAAAAAGCATTTGTACTCAAACTTAGGTAAAGCACAACTTCGAAATAATACAGCTATAATAATATTTCTACTACATTCATGTAGACATTATGTCCAACAGCATAGTCATCCTCCATTACTACAAATACAACATGGTCATTAACTATTTCATATTTAAAATATGACTAAAACTGTGCATTGATTTATTATGCTAAATCCTAAAAAGAAATGTAAGAATGAATTATATAATTACCATTTATGGGATACTTGAGACGCGTTCCATTCCTCAGCACTAATCCTTCAGACACCTGCAGGTAGATTGAGTCATTTTAATTCTGAACACATCAAACATATCCTTTGCATGAGTCAAAAATAGGAACAGAGTCCACATTTGAATGAGTCGTTTCAATCTGCTGCTCTATGGGAAATTCATCGAAGATCCGGGTCATTTTATCCTCTGCAGTCGAACTGTTGTACTTTATCGCGCCACTGTTAACGCTGTGTCCAGCACTTTATAAATATCCATATGTCTCTTTGTGCTCCAACCTGATGTACTTATATGATTCTGTTTTCTTCAAGGTTGTGTCTTCCTGGTCGAATGTACTTATTGTAAGTCGCTTTGGATAAAAGCGTCAGCTAAATGCAATGTAACTTATTTTTAGCATGCTACATTTGAATATGACTTTATAGTTGGACATTTTCACGAGAGCCATGAAGCTCAATATAACTCTAACACGTTATTAAACATGAAGCCACTGTCAGCAGCAGCTTAGACTTTGCATTCAACACATCTCGCTTGGCTCTTTTTAAAAGGTAACTGTTAGAGCCAGTCTTTTGGTTTGGTAAAAAAGGCCAAATATTGTCACCTTATCGTGACCTCTGTAGTCAAGAGACTATAAAAGACTACATTTCCCACGGCACCAGCCATTCAAGATACACAGATAGGGGACACCTGTGTGGAAGAGGCCGTTGAGTTTTAATAGCCTACACAACGTAAAGAAACAAGACGATATTAGTTGTTTATTCTTTTATTTGAGTGTTGCCCTGTTTTGTTTTGATTTGTTTGACAAAGGCCTATTTTTGTGTGTAGAAAGATTTTTATTTTATTTGTATTAAACTCAAGTGGCACAACATCAACACATCATCGGAAGCCAAACAAGTCATAACAACTGTAAGTAAATCAAATAAAACGAAATAACTGTCTGTTTAAGGCGTCTAAGCAGCTTGATGGAGAAAAAGGGAAGGAGGCATGACAGTAACTAACACATCCACAGAAAAGCATCTTAATGATCACAACTCTGTGTATGTCCAGATGCAGGATCCTATTGCTGTTTTCATCACCACAGCTGGTTTTAATGTAGGTCTAACCTTGACCCAGGCTGCTGAGCTTGTCTTACCTTTCCTAATGGCAACACATAGAGGAGGGCATGCAGAGAGATCCAGCCCAGCAGGAGCACAGGGGCCAGAGGGTCCCACAGCTGGTCAGTGGAGGGGAGGGCAGGGGGCCACTGGAGCAAACTGGCCTCAGGGGATCGACTCACACATATCAGGAACATCACCGTCAGCGGCAGGAGGATGGGAATGCATAATGCACCTGAGAGACGATTACAGAAAGAGAGATGAAACATTGCTGACATTACTGTCATTGTGTTAAGGGGATTTGTTTAGGTTGTGCTTAGCTGTGTGGCAAATGTAACAGGATAATAAAGTATACAGTTTAGAGTTAATGGTTACATAGAGATCAAAACAGCTTAAATAAAATGAAGGTAGATGTATTGTGGTGTGCTGCTGCCTGTCACTCACCCAGGGTCCCTCCAAACTCCCTCTCTGTGTCATGTGAGGGTCTCTGTTTGAGCCCTTGACTGTTCCGCTTCATTATTGGTCTCCTGGGAAAATATGATGGTAGATCAATTTCAGTCAAAATATAGACATTTGTGAAACAATTAAATAGTAATTAAATGGTAATGGAAATTAGTCAAAATGACAGCACAAGAGATTTAGATGATTTCATTTGTAATATACAGTAAAAAATATAAAAATACATAAGTTTACATAGCGTAATATGAGGTATTATTACAGATTGAAGGCCCTACATATCCACACAGGTGTTTTTAATCACTATGAAGAAACCAAACTGTACTTACAAGAACGTTTTATCAGCAAAGTGTGACAGATGCCAACCCCCAACAAGTTATAAAATAGTTCAAAGTCAAATAACGTGAAGTTATGATATCTTTAAATCCAAAGTTGTTGATAATGTAAGGATCCCCTCATTTGGGTTGTTTGAACTTTTATATAGTATATTTCAATATATTTAACAGGAGAGGTGGAAGAAGTACTCAGATTGTGTAAGTAAAAGTAAAACTACCAAGAGTAGGAATACAAACGTTAGTTTACTCATTATGCAGATTGGTCCATTTCTGAATAATATAGAATATATCATATGTGTTGATTATAATGATTGATGCATTGATTAGAGTGTTATCAAATCTGGAAAAGCTGGAACTCAGTTGAATTCCTTTGCATATAGTGCAAGGCAGCTTGTGGATTTACTCCAGATGTAATATAAATTGAATTTAAATGTTGATTAAATGTCACATCATTAATCCAAATCTGCAACGTACCTAGAGGAATAGTGGGGTAAAAGTACAATATTTACCTCCGAATTGTAGTAGATTAGAAGTACAAAGTAGCAAAAAATGCAAATACTCTAGTAAAGTACAACTCTCAAAATGGTACTAAAATAAAGTACTTAAATGTACTAAGTTACCATCACTGTTTAACAGTAAGCAAAAGGCCATTCTGACACTTTCCATGGGGCTACTTTTAATACTTAAAGTACGTGTAGTAATAATATTTCCCTTGACATTTAAAATACAGGATTTATGATAATGTTCCTGTATTATCTCTGAGCATGAAGACACTTTCAGAAGCCATAGACCGGTGACAAAAATAAGAAATAAAAAAGGCGAAGGGAAGTAACAGTGTGAGATTTAAGTGTCGAACAAACTCGGAAATATTCTTTTATGTAGCCCATTCTTCACATTATTTAAATGACCTCTTATTGTGAATTATTATGACTGTTAAACCACAGAGTTAAAAATACAGTTCACACCGCTGGTATTTCCTGTGTCCATGCAGCTACATTTCTATTATGAAACATGAGACGAAAGGCCGTCTAGTTGTTGTCCCATTTAGCTTCTAATGCTAAAATATTCACAGCGTAAGAAAAATGAATTGACGAAGTCTAAGGCGTATATAAAGAGCAGAAACAAATGAATGTTTGTGACAGAGTAAATGCTGTGTCTTACCGGTTTAGAGGTGTAGATGGGACGGTATTATTTTCCAATGCATCCATCCAGCAGCATGCAGATGGACACGCCTCCAATACACGTTAAACAACACAAAGATGTCACTCAGCCAATCAGATCACTCCGTGGTCATCAGAAGAGGGTGGAGAGAAGAATGCTTGGCCAATCAAATGAGCGCTTCAGGTGGCGACAGAAATACTGGGAGGAATGGCTGCGGACGTTGTGAAATACACCTGAATTACATTGATAATGATATTTATATATATTTGTGAAAATACTATTTAAAACGAGTATTGCAAAGGAAGAACACACCGTTTTGATCACAATCATACAATTTAATTGAATACATAGACATTATATAATTCCTTCAAGTATCTGTTGAAAAATGTCACAGAAAACAGAGTCAACCAACCTGAAGGCAAGAGTTACAGTAAATCTTAGTGACTTTAGTGTTAGACAGGGATCACATAATCCGATGACATTCATATTGCATATTGTTCAGCAAAAGATCCCTAAAAGAATGTATATATTACAAGAGATTTCCACTTTTTCACTATGTTAATATTCTGCAATCACAATCACTGTTATTCCTTTAAGGCGTGCTTAAAAGTTTAGCTTTATCTTGAATTATTCATTTTTTCAAGTTTGCAGATAGAGGAGATGAGAGGGGGTGTTTTCTTATAATCTATGTTTTGGAAATGACTTTTATATTATTACAACTAAGAACTGTGCACTTTGTATGGCAAGGGCCTGAAAAATGATGTCAGATTCGACAGTCAAATGTTGCTTGATTTCCTTCAGACTGCTACAGTTTTAAAAGTGCTACCCAAATTCCATATAACAATATCATTTGAATCTGAATCAATACATTAAACAGTAATTCTGTAACTGCTGTTATATCTCCGATACACGATTCCAGAGTTGTTCTGTCTGTGTTTGTGATCTGGTGTTTGGAGAGGACTGTGCTGCACTCTGAGCTTTAACCCCGCTCACAGATGACCTCGATCACACTCTGCTCCATGGGGGCGGGATCCAGGCAGCGGTGGGCGGAGCTCCCCACTATCTCATCCAGCAGAAAGTGCACGAGGTTCTCATCTGAGACAAAGCGCCACAGGTACATCTGTAGGTAGTGGCAGTCCACCTGGATCTGCTGCAGCCCGTAGCGGCCAAAGGTACGCAGGCGGACACACTCCAGGAATGTCTTCAAACTGATTTTGATGATTCCAGTCATCACAGAGACCTGGGACAGTGAAGAGGTGTGTGAGAGATGTTTTCCATCAAAGATTCATCAGAATAACAAAGACCTGCACTCACCTTGTTGAACTCCACTGAGCTGAAGATGTCAATCCTCTCAGAAAACAGCTTGTGTATGTTGCTCAGCAGATTAGTATCCATGGGAACACTGCAGACAGACACAAATTAATTACTCAAGTGCATCCACAATTAAAACAATCACCCTTTTCTTATGATTGAAGACAACACAGTAACAATTTACCCCAGGGGGTGAAAGTGTAGGATGTAATAGAGTAGCTGCCTGCTTCTTTTATCTTACCAATCCACTCATATACAGAGAGAAGAATGCATACGCGTTAACGGTGGATATATGTAACTTGTGACAGTGTCAAGATTAGTGATAGATTTTGCCTTTAGATTCAGGAAATGTACATATTCTCCATCCAAAGTATGCATTATTCTCATACCAAAGAAATAAGAAAACGATATGGAATCTAATACCACTTTAACACTAAAATAATCAGGTATATGCTGTTTTTAAACACAGGAAACCCCGCTTAAACTAGGCTATACTCTCAAGTCCTAAAGCTGTTGTATTTTGAGTCTCTCTTTCAAAGTCTCAAACCAGAGTTGATGATTGTTGGAACAATGGATTTGAATAAAGTTTCTGTGAATTAAATCTGATAACTTTGAATAGAGCATATCAATCGTATGTTTTTTACATTTATAGGCTGCATTATTTAAAAAAAACCATGTTGGTAATTATAATTGAGCTTGAAAAGGGATCAAAATAAGGGTCCATCTAAGTGTCATGATTCCCAGTGATTACAAAAAACAATGTCCGAGTCTGATCGGTTGTAAATATATAAGAATGCAAACAAAACCCAAATTGTTATCATGCATTTTTTCTTTTTTAAACGTGTGTATGTGCAGCTTGTTTACCTGGGAGTGTAGCTGGCAGCGTAGCGGACCTGCTGCCTGGAGCTGCTGTACACAGAGAAGGTCCTCTTGCTGGAGTCACTACTGTGGGCTTTCCTCACTCCTTCTTCATACAGAAGACCGACCTGTAGAAGAGCAGAGAACGTTCGTACAGCGCACACACTGAACAAAGTATAAAGAGTGGACTTGAGTACATAACACAGATGAAAATATTGTAAACCATTACCTGCACATCTATGGAGGTGGTGTCCTCTACGACTCTCTTCATCACAGCTCGGACGTTTCGTGGCTCGATGGTGTTGACCCAGTCTCGTGTTTCGACGCTCTTTCTTAACATTTGGGAGATGATCAGGCCCTGAACCTGCAAAGACAAACAAGATAACATACACACGTGTGAGAAAAAGGTTATGTTGAATATTTCCTGCATTGATGTCTCCATTTCCCCCTCAGTAAGAAAAGTAGGTGAAAACCTACCTTCACATAGTGGTTCAGCAGTTTCTGCGCTGCCTCCCTTGCTTCTGTACATAAAGTTGTGACAGGTGTTACGGGACTGTGGTGCTGAGAAAGTACACAAAGAAGAAAACATGTATTTAGATGGCAGTTAAGTAGGCAAGAAAGAACACAAAGTAAAATACTTTAGTATGACAGTGTAATGTGGGCTTTTGTGCATGCTGCTACATTTTAGTCTCAAGCTATTTACTTGCACAAGGAACTGTTCGTCTGTGAGAGTGAGGATGTAGGAGATAGTGGAGGTTTCATAGTCCAGGCAGAGGCGAGACAGCAGCAACAGCAGGGCCGGAGGAGTCGAACCTCCCTTGTCGCCTGAACTCTCACAGAACTGGCGAGAAGACTGGCAAATAAACTTTATAAAGCTCACCACCAGGCTCTCACGCACACCCTGGCTGCAGAATTCACCCTACGAGGAGAAGACACACAGCTGTCAATCTCAAGATTGGGAAGAAAATACTTATTGGGGGGGAAAGCTGTTAAAGGCATGGTTTGGATGTTTTGAAGTGGGGTTGCATGAGGTACTTATGTAAAGTCAGTGTATTTCCTACAGTAGATGGTGGTCAGGAAGTCCCAAGTTTGGAAAAACAAACAGCAGTATCGGCACAGAAGCTGAACAAGGCAAAACATTTTAGCCACCTAAATAAAACTCAATATCAGTTTAAATGTACGCTGTATGTTTTCAATATTTTATTAGCTATACCTTGCCTTCAGATAGCCCTTTCTGACTGATAACTGAAGCTTTTATCTGTCTTTTATCCGCTCTCACTCAAGCCACAAGAACCCGTCTAAATAAACCGTTTTTCCTAGCAGAACGAAGGGGTTGTCGGTCCACCGCTGCCTCGTTAGTGGGATGTGTGACTGTGATTACTACGTGTTCACCGACATCCCATTATAGCAAAAACAAACCAACCGATGGAGGCAGTGGTGGATAGAGCAGGTTGCTTGTTCTGCAATGTAAAATGACTGTTTTATTCAAGGAGTCGTGACGGCTACATAGATAGCGGCTTCAGTTCCCCATCAGAAAGAGCTGCCATGAAAACATTCAACGTGAGACCTTAGACTAATTCATATAGGTGGGCCTTTTTTTACATGGCTCAAATATGTTTTGCTGATGTCCTCGTCTCTAGTAGTACATTGCTCTTCTTCTGTGCCATAACTCTTGTCTGTTTCTCGTTACTGAAGGTGTTCCGACCGCCATATACACTGACTAATTCAAAACAGCCAAACTATCTCTTTAACTGTTACACAGAAATAAACTATTCACCTTAAAATACGGCTGTGTTGGAGAATGTAATGTCCTTAGCTGTGAAGAGATGCACAGATGCCAACACTGATTTAATCTGGTTGAGAATAGAGGCCGACAGGGAGGGAGAGCCAGCTCTGGCAGGCTGTTCGGACCATCTCTCCCAGAAGGCCCCCCCTCCTCCGCCCACTGAAGCACTGGCCACAGAGAGCCGAGGGGTGGCCAGGGCCTGCCTCACGTCCGTCAGGCTGTCCATGTAGAAGCTCTGCAGGGCGGCCAGGTACTGCTTCACTCGCTCCGTGGCTGCACGGATCACGATCTCTGTCCCCTTGGATGGCACTGAAGAGCCTGGCAGCAGTTTGGTCACAGCCTGAAGTCTGCGGTGGAAGCGATCAAGGGCCCGGACCAGGAGGGAGTTATCTCCGACCCCTTTCTCCTCCTGTATCCTCCGCTCCACGAGGGAGAAATACCGAGCGGCCAGATCATCCACAAATGCATGCAGCTTAGCGTTTGCCATCTGTGGAATGTTTTTGGACGCGAGCTCCCCCGTCTGAGCATGGCTGACAAATAGTTCTTGATAGGATGTTATTACTAGACATAAGCTGCTGACAAATTCATTGCAGCCTCTGTCAATGAACTCCAGGATGTCAGTGTTTGAGGAGGGAGAAAAGATAGCGCTGGCTTTAGGGGAGCTAGCAGCCGGAGATCCTGTAGAGGCAGGAGATGACAGCCCGCGTACAGAGGCATCTTTCACGGCTGAAGCAGACGGGTAGGGTCTTATCTCTGCTTCCAGACCCTGGAGGTCCGACTCAAGTCGAGACCGCGCATGGCTCAAGAATTTATCACAGAGCTCCTCCGCTGGCTCATCCAACTGTAGCAGCAGCTCCACACACTCTGATAAATCTTTGGCGCTTGACCCACCATCCCTGAGAGACAACGGCAAACAAGTAGGCAGAAATAGTTGATTCACAGGAAATACATGTGTCTTTTAACATGTTCAAACTGCAGAAAGATGTGTACCGGCAAGCACATTCAATAATGACAAAACAGCTCTATTTGGGCCAATGTTTTCTTAATTTACTTTTTAGTGGAGGAGTATAAATATCTGCAATAAACAATGCAACAGTGAGATGAATCTAACTGAATTGTCCCTCCTGGCTTCCTTAAAATTGACAATATTGCAGCAGCAATAACAAAAATAGGAGTTTATTTATCTTGTTTTGTGTCTAAGTTTAGAGGATCGTTACATATCGGGTATACAATGAATGTGCAAATGTTGCTTGAATTGTCTTTTCGCTACCAAAGCAGATGTTGATCATCCACGGCGCCTAACAACTAGTTCAGAGGCGTGAGGGTAATTTGTCAATGGCGGTGTAAAACAATCAATACAAATCTGTTTATAAAGAATTGTGAATCACTGGAAACACAAGAGGCCCTAGACTCTAGGGCCTCTTGTGTTTCCAGTGATTCACAATTCTAGGGCCTAGACTAGAGCATATAGTCATTAATATGAACGAAATATATTAGGTTGAGGGGACCTGTAGTATGGCAGACAAGCTGTGAATGGACAGAAGGAAGCGCACAAGACCGACATAATATTGAGATAACAATGGCAACGGTCTAAATAAACGTCACGTAATTATTTTAATCCTATTGTATTTCTATGTTTTTTTCTTTTTACACTTGCATCTCTAATCTGAATGTAAATTGAGAGATTCCCACCTGAACTTCTGTCGAAGCTCCAGTGCCAGCTTGTCCATGATGGCGTGACAGTCATCCTGAATCCCTTTGAAGGAGGGCAGGTGGCTGTACTGCTGCAGCACACAGCGGGCCAGGCGGTGGGATCTCACTGCCTGAGCATAGGCCTGCATCTCCAGACACTTATTCAACCTGGCAGGCAGCTCAAACAGAAACTGCAGCTTCCTTAACAGAGTGTGAACCCCTGGGGTGGGACAAGACAAGAGAAACATGTGAAAATCACAGCGTCCTTACAACTGACTCAACAAAACAGACTGTCGGTTGAGGTCTCACCTGAGAGCTTGTAATCTGCGCGTGCTGGTCTTGAAGAGTACCGCTGATCCGAGCGCTGAAGTCAGTGATTGCCGACATGTTAGCAGACAGGCAATCCATTTCATCCTCCATCTTTTTGAAATCATTCTTCATCTTTCTTATGGTGTCTGGAAAAACATGGCTAGATGGTTTAACGATCCGAACCATCTATGCACAATTCAATGAAACATTTCAACAAGTGGAACAGTAAGCGAGGCGTTCCCTCACCTGTGGCAGATATGAACTTGTTGTAGTTTTCATACACCAGCGTCTGCATGTCACTGTCCAAAGAGCGGATCTGCTTGACCATACAAGTCTCCTGGTCCATCAACTCCGCTAGAGAGCACTCCCTTCTTAGCTGCCATTGAACACAAAACACATAAGGACACAGTCACAAACAGTACATAAAGCACAAGGTCCAGTGTTACACTGTCAGTATACCTTTTTCCAGATGATTTACTTAAGTAAAAGTAGCAATACTTCAATGAAAAAATACTCAGTTAGAAGTAAAATTGTTCTTAAGACTAAAAAGTATTTGCATACAAAAATACCTTCAATAAAAGTATGCGTTATGAAACAGATCTTTTTTTCATTATAGGTATTAGAATGATTGATCCATGAATGTGTTCATCACTTCAATGTTGCATTTTGTAAAAGGTGGGGTTTATTTGAATTACTTTATACACTACTGGGTAGCATCCCCTATAATAATGTGTGCCTATTTTCCCTTTGAATGAATATCCTAAATTGAGTGTCCATGTTGCCTGCAGGTGATGGTCACACACACTCAAATGTGGGAGTGAACAATGATTGCTGAATGGGACTCTTCCTAATTCATTGGTTTCATTTGAATGTGTTGTCTATTAATCAACACAATCATTTAGAAAGGTAACTGGTCTAGGTTTTCACATTAGAAGCTTCGGGTAACACTGACATTGAGACAGCGTTAATAACATTATGCGTCACAGTGTAATCAGTTCACATCACAACAGTGGTCCTCACCTTGTTTAAGAAATGCTCGGGGTCAAAATGCGGCCCATTGATGTCGCAGGGATCCAGGGACTGTTCCTCCTCCTCGGCCTTTCCTTCCTCGTTCAGGCCGTAGTAGAGCTTCAGCATGCCGTGCACCCTGCGCTTCCTGTCGGGGCACGAGTCCTCCGACACCACCGCCTCAGCGTCCATACTGTACCTGCCTGGACAGCTGACAGATAAAAGGAAGGTAAACACAAATAAAAGGCGACCAGCTGGCAGGAGAAAGCTGACAACCACCACCAAACGAAAAAGAGTTATTCTTGCCCTAAAGTGACAGCTAACCGTGCAACTAAGCTGTCTGTTCTTAATAACAGGGCTGTAATAATTAATTGGCAAATGTCATTATCTGCTGTGAGACACAAGCAGCTAGCTTGAAAACGTCACTGTTCCGGGTTTGTAGCCTATCCGGTGTTTTCAAAGAGTAAGTGAAGTCAAGAGAGTTGACGACACTCACTTTTTCAGGAATGTACTTGTCTGACAGCGCGGAAGTACGCTACTGCGCATTTCATACTACTAAAACAAGAAATAAGAAAGCTTTACAAACAAATAATTAGCTTGCTATTTTATTATTCTACCGAATCACAAGCAGCTAGCTCAAGAAAAGTAACTATGTTCGGGTCGGTGGGTTATCCCGTGTTGTTCTTTTATTACTTCTACTACTACTTCTTCTTTTACAAGCGACATTGCGTCCCTTGAAAGGCGCTATATAAATCCAAGCTATTATTATTATTATTATTTTATGGCGGACTACAAACTGTTAAAGGTGCCTGCCGCCACCTAGTGCACCGGAGTGTGTCATGTCAAGACCGAAAGTAAATGTCTTTAAACGATTAAATTAAACAAAAAAACAAAACCAAAAAACGATGCTATACTCCAGATATAGAATAGACAATGCAGGTTTCCTTTTCATGAAACCTGCATTGTTCAAAGATTTAAATAAAGCCCTTTAAACCTGTGGCGTTACTCTGTCAAAGAGAAGGTGTGGTCAAGATAATAGACTCACTTCCGTGATGAATGCACTTCTCGTCTAACAGTCCAGAAGTGGACTACTGCACGTCACACACTCTTAAGCATTCTAAAGTAACATTATATTACGAGATATTTTCATGAAACCTTTGTAATAATATTACATAAACATTCATTAACAAAGAAGCTGGCTGGCTGGCCTCATGCAACTCTTGAGAACCAATGGTTTGTCTGAGTAAAATATCAATCAACCATACAACAATTAAGACAAACAAGAATCAATAAATTACACTAAAAACAATGATCTGGAACTTCTGCCTCCATGTGCTCATCTTTAAATCCACTGCGTTGACTGTTTAAACCTTGAACAAACCACCCTCACCACCCTCCATATTCTTCAGTATATATTGGATTAGTATGTTGTTTGTCCATTTCAAATGGATCAGTGTTGGATCCTGTCCGGTCAGGAGGGGGCGACAGTGGAGCGTCTGAAACTGAGGAAACACCTTTAGGCCGATTTGTAGCTTCTCTTTCTGCAGAGAAAGACCTGTCTAACAGCAATATCTGATCATAATGATTACAACTTAGCATTTTCTGAATATATATGGATTTATAAAAACTAAGACCACTAAAAACTTCTTGACTTATCAATCACACATTTGTGATGCTTAATCAAGGAATAAACCAGAGATATGTTCTTGCCTTCTCTTTTGCTGGAGTGGAAATAAGAAATGGAGACATTTGAATCCAGTACAAACGAAGGGCAACACTCTTTATCTTGAGAAAAAAAACACTTTTATTTTATTGGTCAAAGACTGAAAATCTGACAAAAGACTATATAATATTGCATTATGCACATCAATGTATCAGTGGAATCATAACCTGTGATCTGCTCGGCATTGTTCAATTTATTAGTATTTATTTAAAGTAAATACAATATTATTAGGTGCATTGAAAACTATTTACACATGAATCATAGAGCAACGGTTAAAATAGGTCTTAACGATAAACCACATCCCTCACTATATTACCAATTTGTAACCAACACGTTCTTGATTTTACCGTAAAATAAATCTACATCTGTATTATCTGAGAAGAGCGCAAAGCAAAATATAAGGTTTTAGGAGAAAGAGGTTAATGGCGACACATTTCTTTCTTCGGTGCCTCACATAAATGAGATCATTAGGCTTACATTGATGGACATCCATGTATAGAAATACAAACATAGTGCCTCGATAAAATCACACATAAGTAGGTGAAGTATTACACACACCTTTAAGAGATGGATAGGCCTGGCATCAATTTATTTAAAAAAGAAAAAAAGCATATCAGACGTATTCTAATGAAGGCAGATCCACCACTCCATTGAGAGGAATCACACTGTTCAACAGCAGCCCAGTGTAGTCATCCACTTTATCAATATACTCACATCAGCTACAGTATGAAATATGAAATGCATGGTGTAGCTGGAAATATATTAGAAAACATGATTATATATTTTTTTTAAACCATAGCAATAATATCCCTTCCTGGTTTCCAAGCACCAAAAACAGGCATTCAGACGCCAACTGAGTACAAGCAAAAAGGCACTTAATGCAAAGTGATTGCTTGAGAAGACAAGGACCTATTTCTTTGCTTCATTCTTGTGTATGAACACTGACAAGTATATGAAAATGAAATACAAATATTTTCATGTAAAAGCTCACAAACCATAGAAAAACAAGTATATAAACAGTGTATTAGTATTAATAGTGCAGTATCAGGTGTGTGTAGTCTGATGTGGAATGCCTATTCTACAATGTGAAATGCATAGTGTACGTTAGCAACAATAAGTGGACTGCTGCAGGTAGGTTACAGACACAGCTGACATATTGAGTTAAAGAAAAGTATAAATATTTGTCAGTTGGCATGCTGTGGAAAAATCAGGAAGAATACAAGATGTGGAAGGCAGTATGTCAAATGGCTATTAGTGATTAGAGCTTGTTTGTTGAAGTACATGAAAGAAGAAACGGCCTGTATTAGCATTAGGGTGAAGTGCAGAGAGGCAAATGGAGGGACTCTGAGGTCTGGCTTTAAGGTAGCATACTGTGTTGCAGCACGTTAGAAGGCTTGCTTTGGTGTACAGACTGAGAGTTCAACAGCATAGTAGCAGAGGTTATTGGTCAGTTGGTCTGCCACAGAGCACATAGTCCTGTCCTTTGAAAATGAATCTCAGAAATGTCTTATTTTATAGAAGCAGTTTTGCTCCTCAACACATTATGAAAACTGTACTATTTCTAAACAAAAGAAAAATGCAAAAAACAGGAGGCCACAATTGTGTACAAACAAAAGTGTATCCATCGTAGTCACCCATTTTTGTGTTTGCAATGGAAACAATTATTTCAACGCGGGGTCCACGGGTAGTAGAGTGCCAACAGTAAGGAGGTTGTTTTTTCTTTCTCATCAGTTTGATAATCAAGTCTGAGCTGTGCATGGACGATGCATCACTTGAAACTTGGACCATCAAAAAGAGATCGGTTAAATTCTACTTAGCTCTTTGATCAACAAGTAATCACAAAAGAACACAAAGTAAACTGCTTCGCAAAAATCAGAAAGCCTCAAATAAATGGGCTTCGAGCCTTCACATTTAAACTGAACGTCTTAAAAAGGGATGGTCTCATGTCCTTGGATCCAAAGAGCACCTATTCTGCCAAGCTGCTGTTATTCTGTAGCATAACTATGGTGATTTGATTCAATAATTGCTAACAAGAGTTTTTGTTAAATGTCCGTTTTATCCTGTTCCTTTTTACGTTCACAGCAGAATTATTTGATATGAATGATATCTTTAAACAATGTACTGAAGAGGTACTTCCCCAGCACAGACACAGTGCTCCCATACGGACTCAGTAACAACCACTCAACGTTTCTACCAGTACTTTTCTAAAGTGTCTTCACCCTTAGATGAGGACAAGGCACTGGCAGTTTGAAAAAGCAGAACAGTTGAGAGCACGCCCTTATATCGTCCCCTGACAGTGACATCATGTTGAGTGTGTTAACTCTCACAAAAAGATGGTATTGAGATATATATTTTTTACGTCAAAGTCCCCCAAAAGAGGTAAAGCAGTGGTTCTACTCCAACGAGGTTTACATTTTTGAATAGCAGTAAACGCAGCTCCTGAGTGCTGCAGAAAGGACAGAACGGTCATGAGATATACAGTCATCAACGGAGTCATTGTCTGAGGATTTCTGTAGGGCTAACTTAGTCTCACGAAGTTGCTCAGAGAACGCTGTATGCACCTCCGCCAAGGATAGTTCACGGCTAAGTTTGCCTTTCAGCAGGATTACGGGAAAAGTGCCATATATTCAGGACATTTAGTGGAGGGGTGTATCACGTGCTAAAGAAGCACCCATGACATCCAAATCACAGGGTGGATACATTAGTGCTGCATTCATAAAGTGTTTGAAAACTTAAAAAACGTGTTCTTTTTTAAACACTGTTAGCATTAAACTACAACACATCTTTGCTAATGAACATACTGCAGTTGGAAACAGGATACTTCGGGGAGCATGTGAATGCACCACTGGCCTTGGCGGAGGTCTGCTCTTTTGAAATGTCATTATAGTTTCTTTATGTAAGGCTACCTAATAGAAAATAGCCCCTTCAGTTCGACCTCAGAAGAGTAGAGGTTATTAGACCCTTTTTGTTTTTCACATATCTGTATTCTTAATATAAACACAACTTCAGAGGATAAACATTGTCACTCACACCTAGATGCCTCACTTGGTCCTTTGCATGTTCATATCTTTTCAGTTAAATGTCTCAGGCTTGTATCAAGTCTTCTCCTTAAGTATCAGTGTAAAGTGTTCAGGTTTGGTCTTTGAGAGGCATGGGGGCCTCTGGCGAGTTTACCCCTGCTCCAGACTCTCCGTCACCTGCACTGCAGAGTACGTGGCTGCAGACACCTGGCGGGTGAAGAAGGACGCGGCTCGCTTGGGTTTCAAACGTTTGATTTCTTTTCCTGAAAGACAACGGAGAAGAATATTGATTTAATACAGCAATTGAAGCTTCTAAAAAGGAGTCTTAGTCTAGAAGTAGCTTATTTCAGAAAGGGCAAATTGCGAGTAGTATTTACAACTATATTCAAGAATTAGACTCACCATTGTCCACGTAGCTGATAGTGTTAAGTGAATGGACCCGACTGCAGACCACGCTGCTCTGCCTGCGCAGCATCCCGCGCCGTCCTCCTCGTCCGTTCTTGCCATCCTGCCCCCCAGGCTGCTGATGTGCCCCCACCTCTCCGTCCATCTCGGCTGCAGCTCCTCCCTCAGACGCAGACCTCAGCTCCACACAGAACTCAATGAAGCCGCTCATTAGCTCTGCCTTGTAGACAAAAAAAGAAGATCGAATGTTTAACAAGGCCATATTACATCGTGTGTTATATAGGTTTCTGTGCATGTAGATGGTCTGCAAAGGCTGAAATCCAAAAGTTGCCTACAGAAAGATTTTCTCTCCCACAAACATGCTTTTGAACATTAAAGCACGTAAAGATGTCACAGTCTCAAATACAATTAAGAACCTGAAAATGAGCATGATAGGGCCCCTTTGAGTCTAACGGCCGGTCCACACACAGGCATGAAAAAAATCTTTCAAATCTTCGCCCATTCACTTGAATCGGGTGACGTAGAAGATTTTGAATCTTCGCCGAACTGCATTGTGGGGAGCGGAGCATGGTTTTGCAAGCATCGTGAGCATCAAAAGTTGAGCAATGTTCAACTTTTGATGCTCCCGATGCTTTCGAAGCTGGCATCAGCCAATCAAATCCTGTTTATGCAAATCCCGCCAGTACAAGCGCTAGCCAATCAAACCGCATGCAAGCTGGGAGAGCCAGACCGCATTTCATTTCCTCATATTCCAAACGAGAAATTACGGTAGCAAATCACCCGGTTCTTTACGACCAGAACTATTAACCGGGATACAAACCGGAGGAACCAGGCATGGAGGGAGGTGGCAGAGACAGTGGGTGAAACTGGTAGGTGTTTCGCCTGTTTGGGGATTTTATATCCAGTTTACATGGTTTTAACATTGCTATTGCTTTGTATGTCGGGGGCGGGAAATTCATGTGATTGGTTGTTGGTCGCTTCAGACACGCCCAGCATCAAGATTTTTCAAGATTTTTTTCATGCCTATGTGTGGACCGGCCATAAGCCTTCAATTAGAGCTGCAACAATTTGTTGATCAACAGAAAATAAAGACTATTTTGATATTGGATTAACCAAAGTCATTTTTTTATGGAAAACTGTCAGAAAAAGCAGTTTTCAGCCTCTTAAGTGTGGAGTTTTCTTGCTTTTCACATTTAAGTGAATAAATGAAATACTAATTAAACGGCAGATACAGTATATCGATATTGAAAATGATAGTGTATTGCGGCCCTATCTTAAACAGCTGTACTTCACATGAAGGGGCATATTGCCAGTTTTGGATTAGGTGCCTGTGGGATTATGTATCGTGCCTCAACCATTATGTAACCTCTCTTCACCATCTGTTGACTTTTAAACCTAACCATCATTGAACACAGATGATACATAAGAGTACAACAAAACATTTGAACTCCATTAGGTTTCAACACTAATATCGAGTGTTGGGTTAAGAAAAAATATGCATAGCAGCTGCAGCAGGAAAACACCAGGTGTTGTGCGCTGTGACACACATAAAAGGACAACATCTGTTTCAGCAGCAAGATGTTTCAGAATTGATGATGACAAGAAAAACAAATGCTGAACAGTGGGGCGATGTCAGTACCCATGCTGGTTGGTGACACTGTATGTGCAGGTGTTAAATATAGTCTTATAAAATAATTAGGGAATTCAATCTTATTTCACAAATTAGGGCTGCACGATATTGAAAAAAACTGACATCGCGATTTCCCCCCCCCCCTGCGGTATATATTGCGGTTTTTTTAACCTGTTAAGCCCCAAAGTCCCGGCGGGTACTGTGTCTCAGGGGATCTTAATATTTAAGAACCTATTAATGTGTTATACCAGATTAACGGAAATAATCTTAGCTAACTGACGATACAAACCATTTTTACCAAAACAAAACACAAGTCTCATAAGAAGCATCTAAATGACCCCTGAACGAAAAATGCTAACGCACTTTGGCACAGAACTCAAGATAAAAGTACCCTTATTATTACTTATCGTAGCTGCACATACAATATATCCGATTAAAGCTGAGGTTCCACAGATTATTTAGGTATATAGTATCATCACTGAGTGATCCGAACTCGGACAGGGGAAGCAAACACAGACATCACAACACGTACCTTTACGTATATCTATTACGTTTCTAGGGGAGATGTCTCACCGTAGCTGTCAATCTGATCAAAAGACGTGTTCAATGGCATTAAAACGAGAAAAAACGCGGCTGAATCGGTTAATCTATAGGTTTTTAACGTCTCTGTATAAAAAAATTATTTCATTTATAATCCATAATTCCATTTTTATGTAAAAATTGCAGAGCAAAAGTTAGCTGCTAATGGGTAGACACCAGAGTGGCTGCTGCTTCCGGTCTTGGCTATGGCAGTCCAGCGCAGTCTAACACACACACATTACCAAATAAGGAGTGAGAGCGACGCGTAGCCAAAACCGGAAGCTGCATACACTCTGGTGGCTACCATTAGCAGCTAACTGTTGTGCTCCGATTTTTACATAAAAATGGAATTATGGATTATAAACAATTGCTTCAAAGCCACAGATACATTATCAACCTATGGATCAACCGATTCAGCCGCGTTTTAATGCCATTGAACACGTCTTTTGATCAGATTGACAGCTACGGTGAGACGATCTCCCGTAAAAGGTCCGTAAAATGTACGTGTTGTGATGTCTGTGTTTGCTTCCCCTGTTGCGAGATCGGATCGCTTAGATACTATACTTAAATAATCTGTGGAGTCTCAGCTTTAATCGGATATATTGTATGTGCAGTTTCGATAAGTAATAAGGGTATCTTTATTTTGAATTCTGTGCTAAATTGCGTTAGCATTTTAAAAAAAAAAAAAAGAATAAAACCGCACATCCCTGCGGTGTGAATATCGCGCATGCGCATATCGCGGTTATCGCCATGACACGGTATATCGTTCAGCCCTATCACAAATATTCTCTTGTTTTCTATTTCACCTGTTTTGAATAGATCTTCAGCAACTTGTTGACAGGAGTGCCGTCTTCCTCTCCATCAAACTCCAGCCACAGGATGTGTGAGTCCCCCTGCTCCTCGGGGTAGCTGTGGTCCCAGGAGAGCTCGTTGAAATGCAGACCCAGCAGCACATGCTGGGAAAACATGGGTTCAACCGGAGTAAGCAGATTTGTTTTCATAAAGGGAAATGCTCTCAATGCTTATGCAAGTATCCACAAGTACAAAGTGATTAACATGGCATTGTGCTAGGCCTTTCACAGTAACTACTGTTGTTGGCTAATACATGTCCCAGAAATAACTATTTCATTGTTATATTAACACAATTGTATGCCACTGATATAGTGGTAAAATAAAGCAAAAACACCCTTTTAAAGAGCAAAAGCATCTAGTTTTCAAGAATAGTAAGAAGTATTGGAATGTGAAAAAAATATAAATGATAAACTCTCTGGCTCTGTGTGCAATGACTGCATAAGGATGATGGAAGTGTGATGGAAGGGAAATCCTGCAGTTCTGGCAGTATGTTGGCTAAACTGTGAGTGATATTTTTATTTAAACAAATGTAAATATAATGGGCAATCATGAGGTCAGCATGTATTATCAGGTATACATATATGGGACGATAAGTTGATAAATGTGTGCTCACCTTCTCTTTTACATCCATCACATAAACTCCCTCCAGGCAGATCCCAACGTTGACAGCTTTGCGTTTGGCCCTTTGGAGAATCCCTTGCACTGGTTTGTCAATCTCTCCACCGAAGAAAGCGCACCTGTTTGTGTAGTAAATTCAGAGTATAACTTAGCGTGAAAAATAAAACTACAACTAAATATGTATTTCAATTATTTAAAAAAATATTCAGATTCTGATTGATATAAAGACAACGTCTAAATGTTAACTAGGTGCCAAAATGAACACTGGTATAAATGGCTCATTATACGGCTCCTTACCCATAGTAAGGCAGGTTGTGACATGTGTTGAGGTACTGGTGGAGGAGCTGTGTGGGCTCGGGAGAGTTCCCAGCAGGTGAGCTGATCTTCCTGTACTCCTCCAACAGGTTCTGCTCCAGCCCCGTCTGGCGGCTCGACTTCCCTCTCAGAGTGGAGAGCAACCCCCCACTGCCCATGGCAACATGTACGGGCAGGAAAGAAGACAGCTTCTTCCCTCTGTGGAAAGCAGAGGAGGAAAGTTTGAAAGTGCATATTTTTTGTGCAAATGTGGGGTTAAGATAACATTCAATTACATTCAGATTATTTATCAAAATGTACTGTTTACTCGTGTGTTTCACAATGCTTTGGTGCTCTGTATGTACGATTTACAGAATGCAAGATGAAAAAAACAACGAATTGCATCAATGCAAGGCGATCATGTGCAACTGTATAGTGCCATTATTACTATCAATTTCTCCTGAAATAATCTGTTTTGTTCACTCCTACAGGTATACCTCAATATACAGATACATGTCTCTCCTAAATCACTCCATTGACTGTTTTTCATTCAAGCTTGTTACATTTATTTGTTTTTTTGTGTGTTTTTATCATGACCCTGATGAAGTCAAAACGTGCTGCTTTCGCAATAACTGTCTTTCTATTGACCTTTGTTTCTTCAGGGACATACAGAACAAATCCCCTGATGATTACCAAGAGTTCTTCTAAAGTAGTATCTGCAACCAGTACTTATAATACAAAGCATGTCTCCATCAGTAGATGATGGCTATCAATAGTCCAATCATATCGTAATTTAAGGATTTTATTCGAATGAAATTTGAAACATTGTTTAGAAAACAAGTCTCTCATTTCCTCTAGTGTTGGGAAAGCTTGGCACATGACGCTCAGTTTCATGGTCAGAGAAGAAAGACTAAACAGTGACAAACCACATGCACAAACTCAGACATTAATACTTTGAGCAGAATGAGACATCATAAATATCCATTCAGCCATTTGTTTATTATATATTCTGTGCATTCTTGTACTTACTGTAGCAACTACAAATCATAACGTTACAGTAGAACATTATTATCAGCATTTAAAAAAACAACACCTCCTTAAACATTTTCTACAGAATTCCTATGGATTTTCTTTGAATTGCAACATGTAGTTGCTGATTGTACTTTAGGAAGCTTATTTTATGACTTTATAAAATGTTTGCTTCTTGCCCTTTTTCACAGTGTCCATTTTATTCTAGTTCTAGTTAAGCTGAATCGAGGCAACCTCTCACCATTTGACAAAATGGCAGAAGGGGCCAGTACTTACTTCTTCATTTCCTAAAACGTCAGCTGACAACTTCAAAAAATGTCCATTCAAGCAAGAGCTGAGCCCACACAGAAAGAAGTCTGTGTGGTTGATTATCCTACTAGACATCAGCATTTATACTCTTAAGTTGCAGGTCTCCCTTGAAAAAGAGATCTATGATCTCAATGGGACCAATCTGGTTAAATAAAGGTTTGAAATTAAATGAGTTAGGCTGTGTCTGAAAAAGGCTTAAAACCAACATTTAGTAGTATGCATCTTCTCATCTGGAAAATGACTAATTCGAAAAAGATCTAACTGTTGCTTTAAGAAACCAAGGGTTCAACAAGGCACTTACCTGAACATTTCAAAAGCATTAGAAAACCCATATCAACAATTTGGTCAAACTTTATTTAACCATATTTTCTAGCTTACCTTATAGTAGTAGTGATTTGTTGCCCATCAAGACCAGTTCCCTCATCTATAGCGAGAGACAAGGCTCCAAGTGTGGTCCAGTGCTCGGGGTCGCAGGGGTATCGGCCCATGAGGATGTTGCCCCTGGCCTCCTCATACAGGAGCCTGAGCACTCCCTCATCCTCTATCTGCTCAGGAGCGAGACAAAGACAACAATCCTTCAATCATCAGGAAAATAAGACTCCAAGTTCCTTGTGATGAACGACAAGCATTTCATAATTAGCTTATATCAAATATTATTGAATGTATTTGACAATAATACCTGCAGCTCTTTAGATTTAGGATAATACACGTTCCGACGGTACTGGAGACACGGTTCATCTGAGGAAGAAGCAGAGGAGCATGATTTATTAGGGTGGGGCCGACCTTGTGTATTTTAAATTAGTACGATCGTCACTGTTGGAGCTTTAGCCCAGCCTCCCAGAGTGGAAGGAGAGAGGGTTAAGACAAACACTGTGATAGACGAAGGAGTATCTAGCATATCTAATCCTGTACTCCTAAAAAGTAAGTAACAGCATTTAAGTGATTTTGCAATATATTTGTGATACTACTTTTGTATGTTAGTGCTTGTTGGGGAATATTTTGCTTCGGTATCTAACCTTTAACCCAGTCCATCACTGTCTCCTGTCCCATGGCATAGGTCTACGGCCTCGGGAGATGCTGCTATCTCTCTTAAGAAGGAGCAGCTCTGGCTCCTTCTGGTTGCCGAGCAAAAGCTGACCTGAGATAGTTTATCGTTTGTGGACATCTGGGAGTCCTTCTTATCAGGTGCGTAGGTCCCACTGGCGTACATTATTTGGTCATGGACAACAGTTTTAGGCCCCGTCCACACGGAGACGATATCAGTTGAATCCGCTAACATTCTCTATCGTATAGACGGTTCGCCCACACGAGGCCGAAACGGAGCCCGAATCCGATACACGTTGATAACGGCTCCCAAAGTGGGTAGGTCTGAGGACGAAACGCTTGCGGCTCTGTGTGTACGCCCTATACGATCATTCCCTGAAAATGATGACGCCATAGCGTCTCTCCCCACCTCTCCTGCTCAGCCCTGCGTCATTGCTGATGCGTTTCGCCAACAACAACAATGGCGGATCACAGGGTTGCGTTCGTGCTCCAGATGCTACTGACCATGATACAGATTTTAGTGCAACATTTACAGCTCGTCTACCACAACCATCAGCAACAATAATAATATAATAATAATAATCGTCATCGGTCTTATTCGCTGCTTTTGGTGTATTTTGTGGTGGAAGTACAGTGCCACTTACAGGCATATGTATATGTATGTACATACTTATATGTACTACAGCGTCTCCAGCGGTCTCGTGTGGACAGACACGTTTCTTGAGCCGATTCTGTGTGGACGGAAGACTTTTTTGATATCGAATTTGGTTCGTCTCCGTGTGGAACTTAACTCCGTGTGGCCTTAGTTTGATTTCTTCGCTAAATGGTAGAGTCATGTTTTGTGGCAATTATTGTACATTTGGTTTTGCGTACCATGAGCGGGACAAATAAAAATGAAATGAAATGTAGTGCCCTGTTTGTTTAGTTTTGTTAATGAAGAATGTTGATAATACACTCTGAACTAGTTAAAACCTCCGTATACGGAAGAGATCTTCAGAATTGGACGGGCAACCGCTGTGTCAACTCGTGGCTGCAGCACATGTCTTGTCAATTCTCCGGCCATAACTTCATAACAATCCATCAGTGTTTCACTGTATTTAGGCAAGGCAAGGCAAGTTTATTTATATAGCACTTTTCAACACAAGGCAATTCAAAGTGCTTTACAAAAAATGAAAGACATTAAGAAAAGGGCATTTAAAATCAGTCATTAAAAAGAAAAGCTAATAAAATAAACATTAAAAGAAAAAAATACATGGATAAAAGTTACAGTGCAGTTTAAGATATGAATAGTTCAATTAAAAGCAGCGACAAAAAGAAAAGTCTTCAACCTGGATTTAAAAGTAGTCAGAGTTGTAGCGGACCTGCAGGTTTCTGGGAGTTTGTTCCAGATATTTGGAGCATAATAACTGAACGCTGCTTTACCGTGTTTAGTTCTGACTCTGGGGACAGAAAGCTGACCAGTCCCTGAAGACCTGAGAGATCTGGATGGTTCATAATTTAGCAGGAGGTCAGTAATGTATTTTGGGCCTAAACCATTCAGTGCTTTATAAACCAGTAGCAATATTTTGAAATCTATTCTTTGACACACAGGAAGCCAGTGTAAAGACTTCAGAACTGGAGTGATGTGAGCAGGACTCGAGCAGCGGCGTTCTGAATCAGCTGCAGCTTTCTAATAGATTTTTTAGTGAGACCTGTGAAGACACCATTGCAGTAGTCGAGTCTACTGAAGATAAAGGCATGGACAAGTTTTTCCAAATTCTGCTGTGACATTAGTCTTTTAATCCTAGATATATTCTTTAGGTGATAGTAGGCTGATTTAGTAACTGTTTTAATGTGACTGTTGAAACTCAGGTCAGAGTCCATGACTACACCTAGATTTCTGGCTTTATCTGTTGTTTTGAATATTGCACACTGAAGCTCAGCGCTAACTTGTATACGTTCTGACTTGGCTCCAAAAACCATTACCTCAGTTTTATCTTTGTTTAATTGGAGAAAGTTCTGACACATCCAGTCATTGATTTGTTCAATGCACTTACTCAGTGTTTGAATTGGAGCATAGTCTCCTGGTGAAATTGTTACATAAATTTGTGTGTCATCTGCATAGCTATGGTAACTTATTTTGTTGTTCTTCATTATCTGAGCCAGTGGTAGCATGTAGATGTTAAAGAGAAGAGGCCCCAAGATGGAGCCTTGAGGAACCCCACATGTCATATTTGTCAACTCAGATGTGTATTTACCTATAGAAACAAAGTTGTTTCTGTCCTTTAAGTAGGATTCAAACCAATTTAGAACTGTTTCCGAAAGTCCCACCCAGTTTTCCAGTCGGTCTAGTAATATGCTGTGGTCAACAGTGTCAAACGCAGCACTGAGATCTAATAATACTAACACTGAAGTTCTGCCACTGTCTGTGTTTAATTGGATGTCATTAAAGACCTTTACAAGAGCAGTGCTGTGGTTTGGACGAAAGCCTGACTGGAACACATCGAAACAGTTATTTAAATGCAAGAAATTACTCAACTGTTGAAAAACAACTTTTTCAATGATTTTACCTAGAAATGGGAGGTTTGATATGGGCCTGTAATTGTTCATTACTGAAGCATCTAGATTATTCTTTTTTAAGAGCGGTTTAATGACTGCAGTTTTCAGGGCCTGTGGAAAAATACCTGAGTGAAGAGATTTGTTTACTATATGAAGTAGATCTGAGGCCATGCAAGCCAAAACATCTTTGAAAAATCCTGTTGGAATAATATCAAGGCAGCAGGAGGAGGATTTCAGAAGTTAAATAATGTCCTCTAGGTTTTTATCATTAATCTGATGGAATTGTGTCATGATGTCTGAATTGATGTTAAGTGGACACAGAGACAACACATTTGCTGTTCCTGATGCAGAGGCACTGACTGCTTGTCTGATTTTCTGAATTTTGTCAGTGAAAAAGGAGGCAAAATCATTGCACGCCCTGGTGGATAGAAATTCAGAGGCTACTGACACTGGGGGGTTAGTTAGTCTGTCGACGGTAGCAAACAAGGCACGTGCGTTGTTTTTGTTTTTGGTAATGATGTCAGAGAAGAACGATTGTCGTGCGTTTTTCAATTCCAAATTATAGAGGCCAAGTCTCTCTTTATAGATTTCAAAGTGAACCTGGAGATTTGTTTTTCGCCACCTGCGTTCAGCTTTTCGACATTCTCTTTTTTCTGTTTTCACGGTCATGGCCTTTCTCCATGGAGATATTTTCTTGCCAGACACTTCCTTTACCTTAGTTGGAGCAATGGCATCTATAACATTTTTAATTTTTGAATTAAAATGATCTACTAGCTCATTTACTGAGATGTTAGCAGGGGCAAGTGTGGTAGAAACATTCTGAGTAAACATTTCCCTAGTATTTTCAGTTAAATATCGCTTTGTGGTTACCTCTTTTTGAACATTTTTGTGCACAGAAATAGAGCTCTCAAAGAAAACACAGGAATGGTCAGACAGTGCAACATCAGTCACCACAACCTTAGAGATATTCAGACCCTTTGAGATAATTAAGTCCAGAGTGTGGACTTATTGTGCGTGGGCTCCGTCACATGCTGAGTCAGTCCATAGCTATCAAGAACACAAAACAGTTCTTTAGCCCCTCTGTCCTGGGGGTTGTCAACATGGATGTTAAAATCACCAACAATGACTAGACGGTCAAAGTCAATACACACTACAGACAGCAGTTCAGTAAAGTCATCAAAAAAGCTTGCACAGTATTTGGGTAGTCTATAGATATTTAGGAACAGAGCTCGAGAGGAGCATTTCAGCTGAAGGGCCACATATTCAAAAGAATCAAAGTTTCCATACGATGTCTTCCTGCATTGAAGGGAATCATTGAACAGAATAGCAACTCCACCTCCTTTCTTATGCATTCTTTCCTGACTCATAAAACTAAAGTTGGGAGGGGTTGATTCGATAAGAACAGCTGCACTGTTATTCTGTTCAATCCAAGTTTCTGTTAAAAACATAAAATCGAGATTGTGCTCAGTGATAAAATCATTGATTAAAAATGTTTTTCCTGCCAAAGACCTGACATTTAATAAAGCTAGTTTAAGTTTGTTAAACATACTATCAGTCATGTTTTTTGTAACAAGCTGTGGCTGACATGGAATCACTGCTAAATTAGATAAACTCACACAAACGTTTGAGCGCTTCCTGCTTCTAAGATGATTCACCGCTCTTAATCTATTACCTATCAACACAGATATCGGCAAAGCTACTGGCAGGCAGGGCCCCGACATGTCCTGGAAAGAGTTGAGAGTGCCATACGCCCTTGAGCCTGGACCCCACACATATCAGTAAGAGTTTGTTGTGTTTTATACACACACATTCTTATCAGGCTTCGGAGACTGCAGATGCTTTCTTGAAGGGAGGGGAGGTGGTTGACGTAGGCACGGTGATGGAGACGGGGGAGATGGTGCGGGGGTAGAGGACATGCTGCCAGGGGGGGGAGGTGGTTGACGTAGGCGCGGTGATTAAGACGGGGGAGGTGGTGCGCGTCTCTGCAGTGATTTTGGTGGGCGTCGTTGAAGAGCGGGGGTAAAGGACATGGTGCCAGCCCTGCGTATCGCCTTAGTTTGGTCTTTGAACTCCAGGAAGGAATCGGTACCAACCCTCTGTATCTCCTTTGTGTGTTCAGCGATCTCCAGGAGGGTGGGCGAGGGTGAAAGGGTGAATGGAGTATCCTCAAAGACGTTGACAGGGGGGGGGGGGCGACGGGCGGTGGAGACTCCTCCATGTGTCTCATATGTCTCCCATAATCAGAACATTCCTCAGGCGGGTGCAGTGATAATTCTTCAGGGTTTTCTGCGCGATGTGTTGTGTCTTTCTCCTGTTTTGATTCCTCTTGCTGCTTGTCCTTGGCAGATTGATGACGAAGGCAGTTGAATATGTTAGAGATAAACAATTTCACTCCTGACTTGTTCAGGCAAACTCCATTTGCCTTGAAAAGATGTCTGCTGTCCCAGAAAAAGTTAAAATTGTCAATAAAATGAACAGAATGGTCAGTACAGACAGTTGAAAGCCAGGTGTTCAGTGCAAACAATCTGCTGAATCTCTCCACTCCTCTTCTGACTGGCGGTAGAGGGCCACTGATGAACACATCTGCATTTAAAGAGCTGACAGTTTCCAACAGACATTTAAAATCTTTTTTCAGCACTTCTGACTGTTGTTTCACAACATCATTTGTTCCAATGTGCAGTACCACATTCTTCACAGTCAGATGTTCAGCCCCAATATGCAGGATCTTCTCAGCCAAGTCAGAGACCACATCCTTGGGAAAACAGAGTACTTTGGTGTTGTTCTTATTACACAGACCTTTTACATCTCTTACAGCAGAGTCACCCACAATCAGAGTTTCAGGCCCAGTCGTTAGCTTTCCCTCTAGCCTTTTACTTTTGGAGTAGCTATTGGTCCTTACCCTGCTGTGTGAAGAGGACAGGTTATCCAGGTCATCAGATCTCCGGTTCTCGGTCAGCGGAGCGTATCTGTTCTGGATTGGCACACTTGGTGGTTTAGGAGGATTGTTTGTAATTCTCCCTTTAGCAGCTGTCCACTGCTGTTTCCTAGTATGAATAGGGGTTGAAGAGGCGCTCCTCCTGGGTGATGACAATGCAGGCCAGCCGGTCGCATCACAGATTTATGAGCGCTGGGCTCTGCCTGTTATCCGTCCTCCCAAATCCCATGGAAGTGATTTACTCTTAGGCTTTGCACCCAGAGAGTTCCAGGGAGGACTACCACTTGTAGATTTATTACCCGGTACACAGCCCTCCTGTTCCTTGGAATCCTTGTAGCTGCTAACTAGCTGTGAGTTAGCATACCCTTCTCCATTATTTTGCAACACAGGTAAAGTGGTGTCATTCCCACGACATAGTCCATTCACTTCCACGTTAACTTCCAACCATTGCATTTTCATTTCCAACACAGCCATCTTCTGTATACGTTTTTGGAAGTCATCTGTAGAGAACGGAGGCATTTTGCTACCAACTAGCATGCAGTAGCCTACCAGGCTTTAGCTGTTGCTAGGCCACGCTACTGTAAGACTGACGTTGTCGTAAAAATGTTGAAATATGGCTGAAACCCTCCGTCTATTTACGAAGATTAACTGTCCCAGTGATAAGTTAATGTCCAGGAGCCGCTGCTCGAAGTTTTCAGAGAATAAGAATAGGAAAATCAGCATAAAAAGTAAGCAGAGGCAGGAGCAAGCAGAAAAAGCGTCTGCACTCTGCACTGTAAGAAAGATAAGCAGAACTATTTAGACTCCATTGCTCCAATTTTCCAGTTTTCATTACAGTGCTAAGCTGTCACTGTTGTGTTTTGCGACATTTGCAATGCCACATGGACAGCTCTGTATGCTAGGCTAGTACTTTCTTTTAAAACATACACTGTATCCTTTGTAGACTTTTTTGGACAGGATTTGCCAACATACTGTAGACACTGCTTAACTGATCAGGCTCACTGAACATCCATAATCCCAACAACGAAAGCTGACATAATTGTGGTTACATAAGCACATAAACGCAGCAATATATGGACCAAAAGCTCACCTTGTGAAATGTCTTCCTCAGAGGCTTCAGTAAAACGATACAGCAAGTCCTGCCACTGACGACACAGCTTGTATGGTTGATGCCTAGCCTTTAACTGTAATTCTGAGGAGGAAGAAAATGTAACAAAGTGAGAGGTCTCCATTTTCCTGCTGTAAATATAGTATGTTTTGCTGTTGTAATACTTGAGCTGCTTAGATCTAAGGAAGGTAATCTTGTTTTAAGAGTAAAGTTCAATGGTAAAGGCAAAACCACAATCTCAAATCAATAGTTTGCTGTGACTGAACTGATTTTTAAACTAAATTTATCATGCCAAATTAATTAAACATACTGTATTGAACCGGCTTGTAGCATTTTATTGCTAATCCAAGCAGTATTGTACTGTATAATGCCTGTTTTATTTCCGCTTGTTCAGGCACAAATTCTACACACAACATCCTACCATAATCACATACCGAGTAATATTTTGTAGCCAGAATGTGATGTTTTATTCAAGAAAGTAGGATTAGTATACACATATTGCCAGATGAAGCATCACAGCCTTAATTAGTGTAGAAAGTGTGAACAAAAAAAAGTCCTTACCGAGCAGGGGAGAAGACAACCAAAGAGCAAAAGCATCCTGTGCAGTCTCAGGAATATGGAGAGCCTCACGAACACTGCGGCCCAACTCCTGCACAGAGACACTGCCAAGCCCTTCTACTGTTAGGTGCACAGCGCTGTCACCACACAGGTATACAAGCACATCTTGAGCTGTGTGAACAAACACAAATTAACACAAAAATAAACAAATATAAAGAGACAAGTAAGCCAAAGAGAAAAAAAGAACATATCGAAATAATGCATATTAGTAATCTCTGAGTGATTTTACCCTCCATGAGTTACATTATTAATATATAAGCTGAGGCGTACCACGGGAGAGAGTTGCAGAGGAAGCAACACTTCCTCTCTGCGAGTGACCATCTGATGAATCAGGAGGAAAACTGCAGTCATCTCCGTCCATCTCTACTCTGCAACACAATGGTCAAACACAAAAGTCATCACAATATAGAAACAGCAGCATTACATGTAAAATACAACATATTTTGTTTACGGCTTAAGAAAGTCAGAATACATGAACTGGAAAAGTAGTACATATAAATGTGGATGTGTGAGATGGCCAGACAGGAGGAGGAAAAAAAATCCCTGATATTTAGTATATATTTATTTGTGTGAAAGCTCTGCATATGTGGTAGTTTTCAGGTATACAGTTGTTACCTAAATGCACACATGCCACTATCTTTAGCTCACTTCTATCTATGCATAATGCATTACTCATGCATGCTTCCTAAGCTGCTTGATGTGGGACATTAGATCCATAGGGCCTACTTGTATGTACATGGGTGATGGGATTGGACTACTTAAGTGTGCTATTTCTCAGCACAGAACTTTATAATGTTCAAAAATCACGATTATCTATGTACAGTAAATAGGTTTGTGTGTTGACAAGACAGATATCAGCAATATTCCTGGTGGGGTCTTCCACAGGGACATATGCCAATTCATCCATGACCTTCAGTCATATCTGAATAAACAAGTAATCAGCTAATTTAGTTTCACTATGCACCAGCGCCACCATTTGGCAGTAGCCTAAACAAACAGAGACCCTGTGTACAATCACAACACCCCAGTCGACTACTGTTGACCTCACCCTGTGAAACCAAACTTATAGTCGCCCCGGCATGTCAATGATATTCAGCAGCGTTTGTATGGTATTTGTAAGGGCTTTAACTAGAGATATGATAGCCTAAATACAACGAGGATATATATACAGAGAGACATATCAACTAAATGATGGCCCGTGGTACAAGGGCTAACTAGCTAACTTCGTACCATAGCTAGCTTTACATGCCATCTCAAACTATGTTTAAAATACATACTCAACCCCACTAAATTCACGAAATATGCCTTGGCTTTAAGGCTAGTGAAGCGACCTTGCTAGCTAAAGGCGTATTCAAACACACACAAAACATTATCGTGAAACTAAGATAAAACAAAACGGTTCACTCATCACTCCATGACGAGTTTGTTACTTTGGTGGTAAGTTAGCTCCCTAATGGTGTTTTTCACAACAGTCTAAGATCATATTAATAGCAAGTACAGGAACGAAATGTCTCTGCTGTCCACCTACCTGCCAGTTTAAGTGAATTCCCCTCCACTTGCTGTTATGCGGATGGGAAGGCTAATATTGTAAATACTGCCTCTAAATACATTAGCTAATCAACGGTTAGATGAAACTCCCCCAGTCACGGCTCGCCAGCTTTCCGGGCAACCGCAACAGTTAGAAGTTGAGTGACTGGAGAACGATTCGCTCACTCTGAACGGCTCTTTACTGGGTGTGACTCTGAAAGACTTAAAACATCCCTTTTATAGAGGTATGCATGCACGTAGAAGACAATAAAACAGCTAAAAGAAAATATGTTCTAAGTGTTAGTCGGGGGATGATTTTAAATAATATAACCAACTTACAGACGGTGTACAGTTTGAACGCTTTGACCAAGAACAGGCTCAAAAAGGAAGGATCTCGAGAATGAGTCGAATATCCCAGCGCGCGCGTTGTTGTCTCCCTTCGTCATTGAACCGTCATTACGTCTGTATACGTGGGCACGCAGGCAGACAAGTAGGCTAGTAGGCTGCAGCCCTACTGTTAAAAAACACAGGCCTTTATAACCTAAATACTATACCTCATTCCATTAGTCATACATAACAATGCTAGTACGCAGGGGATTTTGTTATGTTTTAGCCTGTTATGATGTTTTAGCCTGTATGTGATAGTATACCTGAATATGATTGACTACTTGGGTAGAAGACTAAGGTATGCATGTCTCCAGAAAATCATTCAAGACAGTCATGTTTTTAAAATAATCTTTATTTAAGCTATTTACATGGGTTGATATTACAAATTATTTCTGTTGTTTCTGGTAATAAAGAGAGTGAAGTAAAATTACCTTTTATATTAAATGAACTGCCCAGGGACATGAGTGTAGAACACAAACTTCTCATCCAAATTTGAAAAGTAAGATCTCAATATTATATTTGTTCCTGTTCTTATATTTTCATAAGCAGGGGCAGGGGCACAGTTAACTGTCCATCCTAAATTCACCTGACGCAGGAGTCCAACTGCAAGGGCAGCAAGTTGAGTATTAACAAATGGGATCAAAGGCTTTAGCAAGGTTTCCTAACAGGGGACACACTTAATGGCTTTAGATGGATTACTGATTATATCAATCTTCATAATCCTATCGCTTTCACTAACAGGGAGAAGAAAGGCAGAGATATGCATCTTGAAAAACGTTTTGTGGTTGGGTATCTTTTCTGATGATATACAGTATGTGGTTACAATAAGGAATGTTTTTTTTTAATATGTGCAATTCATATGAATAAGTATTTTTACATATATTTAAGTCAAAAATTAGCATTCATTTGTTGCACTCTCAGTGTGAACAAATATTCACAAGTGGGTTTCCTGTGTGGTTTAGGGGTCAGCTGGGGCTTCAGAAGAGCCCTCCCCCACCTGGTTCTTAAACAGGAAGAACTGCATCACAGGTTCAATGAACTCCATCACAGTGTCTTTCACTGATTTCTCCAGCAAGTACCCTTCTGTCTCAATCTCTGTGTTTTCATTCCCTGCCACTGCCTCCATGGCCGTCTGCAGGAACCGCAAGCTCACCAGCACAGAGCCCTGGGAGTGAGGAAGGGGAAGAAATGGGGGAAAAGAGTTGTCAAGCAGCTTCCATTAGAGAGCATCATCAAGGATCCAAATTGCAGTGGTAATTGATGGATATGCATAGATGTACGGGTAAACATCAGACCCTAAGAATAAGTGAGGAATAAATTGAGGTTTACTATCCAACAAGAGTGATATTAAAAACGTAAAACAATGTTGCATACTGGTTTAACTTTTAATACAACTTGGTTGCTGTACCAATGCCTATGAATCAGTTGTATTCCTCAACGATACTCCAAATTGAAAGGCTCACCCCAAAGTTTGCCTGGAATCCTTGTGAAACCACTGTAATTATTGTGTCGTATACCTGCAAGAGGAAGACTGACAGTACTCCAGCCCCAATGGTGTTCATCAAGCCCATGAAGTAGCTGACCAGGGCCTCTCTGCAGCCTCGGAGGTACAGGTTGAGTTCCTCCGTTTGGTATTCATAGTTGAAGTGAGCTGAGTTGTTTGTCAGTTGATACTGGATGCATGGCCGTGGAGAGCTGGGGTTACAGCAACTGAATGGGACTCCATCCAGCAAGTAACGACCATCCACGTTGCTCTTGATGCGGCTAAGGAAAAAAAATGGTGGTTTTTCAGAGCTCATATATACAGTAGGCCTACAGTAATCTAACATATTGTTTTTCGCACTTTTTGCACTTCTGGTTCCCTTGTCACGAAGACATCGTTTTTTTCATTGTTTGTGTTTATTTTCTTGGTTGGATGCCTGAAATAAGGTCTGTGCTCAACACAAGTTTAAGTGATTTTCACATTTAATTTGGACAGACAGGGAACCTCACCTAATGCCTAGTGCTCCTAGTACTTGACTCCTGGTTCTAGGATGGGTTAAAAGCAGTGTGTGTGCTCTGTGCTCTGCATGTGTGACCATTAAAGAGGGGTTTCATCACTCCCAATTCTATTCTATTGTGTATGTTTTTAGGCTAATGCTTTTTACTTCGGACATTTACTAAATGAAAACATTTTCATTTGAGAAAATAATCTCCTAAACATGTGTCTGCCTCATAGTTTATTTTCTCCAATAATCCAAAATCCAAAATAAAAATCCCATTGTCCCAAGACAAACAGTGTAATTCTTACTTCCGGGTTGGCCTACAACTGTGCAGCACTATATAATATTGTGCTAAACTTACTCTTTCACTTCCTTAGAGCTGAAATCAAGGTAGCGGTTGCTGATCCACTGGACCTCAAACCAGTCCCTGAAGTCATTGTTTCCACAACACTGAAACTCCATCTGCAGGCGGTCGATGTTCTGTTTCTGGAAGCAGCGGCCCGGGGTGTCTGTGTCCTTGTAGAAGCGGATGCCGTTCTTCAGGCCGACCTTCAGAGATGACTCCAGACTGCCCTTCATTGCATAGCTCATGATGACAGCAAGCAGCATGAGGACAGTGAAGAAGCAAGAGACGGCAAAATATGGCTTTAGCATGTTCTTCCAGCGAGGAAATCTCTCGGCGTCCAGAGCATCCTGACAGATCTTTGAAGCAAAGATGTTGATACCCAAAGAGGCCAGACCAACAATCATGAGAGTGTTGGGCACAACATGTACATCTGAGTTATCCATAACCTGTAAATAAGTGAGACAATAATGTTATCAACAAATATTTCATTTGTTTGCTGTAAGGAAACATCAGCCTTACTAAGAATTAAACAGAGTCTTTATACGAAGCTATGAAAACGTGCTGGTGTTTCAAACTATAGAACCTGATAGAGATAATGGATACTATTTGCCTGAAATTCCCAAGAATGTCCCCTAAAATACAACTATAAAACACAAAAGTTCTACCAGACTTGAGACATATTTGTCTTTACAACTAAAGCTTTATGTTACATGTCATTTAAAAAATATTCAGACTTCTCTTATCCTCATTCTTACTAAACATCTTTACTACAAATCATAAGATAAAATGAAGTGTAAACTACAATGCATTGCAATATACATTGTAATATGAGAACAATTATATAAGCTTCATGGATTCTGTAATTTATTCATTTACCCGCACTTACACAATCATGCAAACAGACATCCATCAGCTTTTAAAAGCATACATCAATCAAAGAAGATCAAAAAGTCCCTTTCTTGACGCTAAATTCTTATGATTTAGAATAATTATTTTGGGGCAGTAAATGCAAAAAACACAGTTGCAAATGCATAGTTGTGCAAATATTATCTTTTTGAGGCTGCAAATAATTAATATTAGCAATAAGCTAAACAAAACTATGTAGGTTTGTTATTAATACAAAATTAGGATGACAGCATTCAGGAGTAGGGGTTAGGCTGACTGAGAGTGACAAAGCCAGCTTTCAAATTATGAGTCAGAATCGAAAGTGGGTCACAGGTGTTTTTACCACTTGTTAGTCTCCATCAAGGACATTTCTTGGACAGTATATTATATTTAATGTATCCCATAAGACACTTTTACGCAATGTCATGTTTTAAATTGTAACAGTTTAAAGGTAAGACAGGCACAGTATCTTGAGGTTATTCAAATTAGTCACTGCATCACAAAACTGCTGTTCCTCACTGTAGATACAGTATGTACTGAATAACTTTATGGTTATCTGTGTTCTCTGTCAAAAATATAATCAGACCAACTTGGCGTGTCGTTTTCCCCCCGAATATCAGTAACAAAGTGGGATTACTTGTGATAACTTTAACAAATAAACCATAAGTAATTACTCTACTGATTTTTGTATTTGGTTGATAACTCCCTTTAGAATTATAGTCTTTAAATGTAAAACTTGATTACCTCTGCCCTCCTGCGGAGCTCCGTCTTGAGGATGCAGCCCAGGGTGAAGGTGATGGCCCCGGCCACTGTGGCACACCAGGAGAGGAGCCACAGTCCCTGGGCTAGCTTCACCCTTTTCTGAAAAGGGAACTTCATCTTCATCACCACCATGGCTGCAGCCTGGGAATTCGGGTCTTACCAGGGGAATAGGGGAAGGACAGGGACGAGGCAACGAGTGCCGATGATGCGGTGCTTTGTCTGCGAGGAAGAAGGAGGGGTCAGATGCAGGGCACTGAGGCTGGAAAAGCTAAGTTCAACACTAAGTACACACAAATAAACTCAAAGAACACATGGAAAATAGTTTTCTGATTGATTTCTCCAAAAAAGTAAGATGTTATAAAGCAAATCCTTGGAGAGTAACGTTTTAAAGCTTCAGAAGTGGTGCATCTCCAATATAAAACATATTTCACAGCATGACAATTCACCTTTTAATGTCTCCCCAAAAAGTGCTGAAAAAGTCCAGTTATCTCCACTGACCACCGTGTACCACACAGTGGATTTGGCATACTGGATTTGGTGCACCTTGATGCAGGGAGCTTCTTACCACTAATACCTACCTATCCAATTAAACTCGTCTCTGAATCCAGGCCATTGTCTGCTCAGCACCCATCACACACACAGAGGGACATGGAGGACAAAACAAATCCAACCTGACAGGAAGATGGATATACAGTATATCTATAAATATATTACCTGTGTTACACATAGCATCATGACACAATTTGAAATGGATCTGGAATTCATTTGTTATTAATGTTACATATTTCATATTAAAAAAAAGACAATATATTATATGATATCCTGTATTCATACTTTATTTTAAAATGTTATTTGTTTCATATAGTTATTTGTGAATCCTTAAGAGTTCAAAGCAAAAAATAAGTGTCAATGGTAAGCAAACATGTTTAACAATGATGAAATGTTAATGACTCTTTGCTAAATTTAGGGAAGTTTCAAGCAGAATCGAGACAGCATGAGGAAGCTCTTTTCGACACCCTGAAACTGATCCCGGTACAATGCCAGTTTCTTTTACAAACCACAAGCAGAATTGTATGTGATTTCTAAACAAGTGGCCAACTTTAGCTTAGCGGAGATGACGTGAAGTCATGTGATCATGGTCTAGTTTGTTGATAGCCTATTGGGGTCTTTTAACTTCTGCCAAGTGTTGTTCTAAACTAAGTTAGCCAACAAAGTACATCATCCTTGCAGCACTCTGCTGTCCATCTTCTATCCTTCTATGTATTTATCAAGACAAACTATCCAAAGAAAGATGATTAAAAATAAAGCAAACAGCTGACATTATGTTTAATTGATTCTTCATTTTGTTTATAAGATGTTACATTGACCATGGTACATGGATGACATTTACACAAGCTTGTAACATTTGTTTATTTGCAAGAATTTATTTTAAAAGGTGAATGAATGTAACCTGAGGAAATAAGTTTTGCATATACACATATTTAAAGGTATTTTATATTTATAAGTTTACATTTTGTTATATAGTACACGCTAAGACAACAACAAATGGATTAACAAGAAAGCACTGGATTTTCTTTTTCTTTTAGATTACTTGAAGTATATATATTTATATAGCATTCAACAATGCATAATTGAGGCTACCTACAAAAGAAGAAAATATTTTATGATTACATAATGTTACATGCAAAAAGCAAACAGCTTAAAGACATGAAACGACATGCTTATATTGATGATTATACTAAAAAAATAAAAGGTTCCATTAAATGACTAAATCTAAAGGGATTTTTCAAGTTACAGAAAAGTACAGTCATGAATAGGGGTTGAATGAACACGCTGTAATACAATTGTCTATCTTATTTTAAATATGTTTTGAGAAACAAATGAGGAACCCAAAAGAGGTAAAGGGGACATAGGGGGTTACATCTTCTATTTAGCATTTTGAAGGGAACATTTTATCACGCTTTAGTGTTCAAATGACATGTTATTTCTTTAATGATGCAAGCCTGAATACACCTCCATTCACCCTCTGGTCTCTTAAAACTCATGTTTAGTGGCTGTCTCTTTAAGGAAGTCCTAAAGCTGTGGGGGGAGCTCCTCAGAAAACTACTAAAACATTTTTAATTAAAAGGTTAAGTTGAATCCAAACACATGTTAATTAGCGGGGCAGAACCACTGAACCCGTGAAAGAAAGAGCTTAATTGAACTTTACTAATAAATATATAGCTAAAAGTACTATATGTTTTGACACAGTGAACAGGGCCTTCATGTTTCTGTCACAGCTTTGTTCGCTCTGCTTTTATCCCCTCGTCTGTCCAGGCGTTCACCTCGGCCCTGCCCTGCCCCTGCTCTACTCCAGCCTGCGGTCCACCTATGAAGTGGTTGAGCATCCGCTCTGCTGACTGCAGGCCGGCTAGATCTGCCTCTGATGGCCTCACAACAGCCACGTCCCTCTCGTTGCTGGTTCTCCAGTGATGAATGATCTCATTATCTAAATCTTCGACGGCCTCACCCCCTTGGTGGTGGAGGTCCATCATGGCCTCCGTGCCCCTTAGCTCCTTCTGCATATGATGGCGTGCCAGTGGGATTTCCTCAAGGCTAGCAGACCGTATCAGGATGGCGGAGCCAACGTTTGGACTGGTGGTGATCCTGTAAGTGCCTTCACCTGTCAAAGCTTCAGACAGATTCTCATTGTGGATGGTGAACTGGAGATGAGGTATCTGCATTTGGCATCTGAGGATTTCCTCACCACCTGACTCGCTGTCTTTGTCCATATCTGCATCCCGGTGTCTCCATACCTGACCTCTGTTGGATCCTGTCAGTACAAATCGTGGGGTATCATCTCCTATCTCTGACCAGTCAGATTCTTCCTCCTCTGGAACTGGCCCCAGACATTGGTCTTGCCCTCCAGGGTTGGTGTTGTTGTAGTCATGGATGTCCATGAACTCAGCCGGAGGCGGGGTGATAGGAGAAACCACCTGATTCATGGCATCACCTAACTGAATTAGAGTTCAGGGTTGTGGAGCACAGAAGTTATCCTCATCAAGTAGAGATTGCAGATAGATTTGTATTGATTAAATAATGCAGAGGTAACATATTTTTTCACTATGTATATTTACTGAGGTAAAGATCTTACATTGAATTTTTCCACACTGTTGGCACATTTTGCATCAGCGAGGTGCTTCGTCAGTCCAGAAATACGCTGGTTCAACCTCTCACGTTCTCCTTCCATACCCTGAGCCTGACAGAGAGAGCACAGGAAGCACGGTTGTCGCAGGTCATTAGTAAGGGGGTAATTGTACGTTACAACATCCCCTCCCAAGAATTGTACAAGAATTTTGAAATGTTTTACAATCGTTTTGATGATTCTAAATACTTAAGCTCACGCACAAGAAGCATAGAAAGTCTTCCAATCTTACCGCTGACTGAAGCTTATTCTCTAGAACACTACTAGTCTGTTGTGTTGAGGAGCAGTTTTCATATAGTCTGAAATGATGTAAAGGAAGACAGAAAAGTTACTCAACAATATATTGCAGTATACACACATGTTAGGGTTAGGGTTTAAGTAATAGCTGTGCATCATCTTAGATCCCAAAAAATGGAAAAATCTATTTTTTTTAGGAAAACGGATGATGGTGGCTTTGTACATCTTATTCACTTTTATTAGAATGTTAACTCTTTTAGATCTCTGAAATTGCATATATTTCCATTGTTTGGACAAATACATTGCAAATACATGTTATTGAAGGGAGCTGCATGAGCCCAACTTCATGTTTTTGGTTAATTTATTAAGCTTATTAAATATAATTTGTGGAACCCCAAACCGTCTACACACTGATAGTGTGCTAAGCAGTGTCAAGTGTTTGGCACCATATAAATAACATAGTGAGAAATAATCAAAGTAACTTTTTTGCATTTGCTACAAACGATCTCCTTCCCTTGAGAACAAATACTAAGATGACTGATGTATAGTATATATGAATTATGATATGTGTTAGGAGCGAAGGAGGTTAAAATCAGAAGAACAAAATGTGTTTTCTGCGCATTCATGACCTCCCAAACCTCTCTGTAATGGTGCTAAGCTCCATACGTGTCCTCTGAAGTTCTGCTTCCAAAAGCTTCTGGCTGCACATGAATTCCTCTCCTAAACACTCCATCCTCACTGCGGTCTTCAGCAAAGTCTTATGCAGACCTTCATTCTGCTCCTGTAGGATCCTATCAGGACAGTTTCACAAAAGAGACTCCCAACTGAGGAAAATGTGAATGAGCATTTGATGGATTAATTTAATAATTCTTAAAGGGGCCCTATTACGCCTTTTGGGGTTTTCCCTTTCCTGTGTAATATAGGTTTGCGTGCATGTAAATGGTCTGGAAAGGCTAAAATCGCAACGTTCCCTCCAGAGGGAGTTTCTCTACCACACACTCCCCCCTTCCTGAAACGCCTCCATTGGACTCCTTTGTTTACTTCTGTAACATAGTGACATCACTCATGCTAATATTGGTTAGGACTCCAACATATTGTACGTGATAGGCTAAGGGGTGGGACATCTCTAAGTGCTTGATCAATCACAACAGAGCTGGCCAGCTAACCAATCAGAGCAGACTGGGCTCTGGTTTCAGACAGAGGGTGAAAAGAGGTACTGCAGAACAGGCAGTATGAGAAAAATAAAGGGCTTTTTTAATATTAAAGCATGGAAATTAGCATTATATGTACTTTTTAATCTATTCTGTCATCACTCCACACTCTAATTGTACACATTGGATGTACATTACACAGGTCAATGCTTTTTTTACGATAGTCACTTCCAAAACAATTTGAGTGAGCAACCAATAAGTCTATGGACACTATCATGGTCATGGTTGTTATTTGGAATATTATCATTCACAATCCCAAAATAACTATAACACACTTACATGATTTTACCCAGTCCATGTTTCTTTTCCTGCGTGAAAGGAAAAAATAAAACTTTAAACATTACAATCAGAAATACTATTGATCATGACAAAATAATACATTTAAAGAAATGTGGAATGTCAATTATGATTACCATTGGTTTGTACATGATAACCAATCTATTGTTCTGTAATTTAACTTTAATCTAGAGTTCACGGTTACATGCACACTGGTGCCCAAATCAATAAACAAGCAAATGAGTGGAACATTATTATATAAGAATGTAATCAAGCATGTACAGTATAACACAAGGAACTATTGATTTACCAATAATTACTTTATGGAAATACTGTTATAGGGGATTTAATTAATGAGTATATGCTTAACCCAAGTGAATGTCATACTTTATGTAACGATGAGCCAGTGCAGCTTGTCTGTTCCTCATCCTGACTGGAGGGGCTGCTAGTACTCCTGGGTAAATCTGCAATGCTGGAGAGAGCTGGGCTGCCAGCAGAATGCTGCTCTAAATGAGCGTTGTGATCATCAGGATCATTAAGATCCTCATGGTCAAGATCTTTTTTTTTGGAGTGGGGATGGTTGAGATGTGATTCAGGGTGATGTCCTTGGTTATGCCTTGTGCTATGGTAATCAACATGGTGATGCTGATGCGATTCACTGTGGTGATCTCCATGGTGATGGAGATGTCCTGCACTGTGGTGGTCTCCATGGTGATGCGGATGGGATTTATTGTGGTGGTCTCCATTATGATGGGGATGCAAGTCACTGTGGTGGTCTCCATGGTGATGGGGATGGCCAGTACTGTGGTGGTCTCCATGGTGATGCGATTCATTGTGGTGGTCTCCATGGTGATGTGGATGCAATTCACTGTGGTGGTCTCCATGGTGATGGGGATGGCCAGTACTGTGGTGGTCTCCATGGTGATGCGATTCATTGTGGTGGTCTCCATGGTGATGTGGATGTGATGGATTTTGATGGTCTCCATGATGTAGATGGCCTGAACTGTGGTGGTCTCCATGGTGATGGGATTCACTGTTCTGGTCTCCATGGTGATGCAGAGGGCCAGAACTATGTTGGTCTCCATGGTGATGCCGATGTGATTCACTGTGTTGCTGAGGAGTTTTGCTGAGATGGTCTCCGTGGTGATGCGGAAGAGTTTTACTGTGATGGTCTCCATGCTGACGCGGAAGAGTTGTGCTGTGATGGTCTCCATGGTCATGCGGAAGAGTTTTGGTGTGATGGTCTCCATGGTGACGCGGAAGAGTTGTGCTGTGATGGTCTCCATGGTGATGCGGAATAGTTTTGCTGTTAAGTTCTCCATGGTGACGCGGATGCGATTCACTGTGCTGGTCTCCATGGTGATGGGATTCATTGGGGAGGTCTCCATGGTGATGAAGTTCACTGTTCTTGTCTCCATGGTGACGCAGATGCGATTCACTGTGGTGGTCTTCGTGGTGATGTGATTCACTGTGGTGATCTCCATGGTGATGCACTTCACTTTGGTGGTCTCCATGGTGATGTGATTCACTGTGGTGATCTCCATGGTGATGCAATTCACTTTGGTGGTCTCCATGGTGATTTGATTCACTGTGGTGGTCTTCCTGGTGATGCTGATGAGATTCACTGTGATGGTCTCCATGATGTTGCGGAAGAGTTTTACTGTGATGGTCTCCATGCTGACGCGGAAGAGTTGTGCTGTGATGGTCTCCATGGTCATGTGGAAGAGTTTTGGTGTGATGGTCTCCATGGTGACGCGGAAGAGTTGTGCTGTGATGGTCTCCATGGTGATGCGGAATAGTTTTGCTGTTATGTTCTCCATGGTGATTTGATTCACTGTGGTGGTCTTCCTGGTGATGCTGATGAGATTCACTGTGATGGTCTCCATGATGTTGCGGAAGAGTTTTACTGTGATGGTCTCCATGCTGACGCGGAAGAGTTGTGCTGTGATGGTCTCCATGGTCATGCGGAAGAGTTTTGGTGTGATGGTCTCCATGGTGACGCGGAAGAGTTGTGCTGTGATGGTCTCCATGGTGATGCGGAATAGTTTTGCTGTTATGTTCTCCATGGTGACGCGGATGCGATTCACTGTGCTGGTCTCCATGGTGATGGGATTCATTGAGGAGGTCTCCATGGTGATGAAGTTCACTGTTGTTGTCTCCATGGTGACGCAGATGTGATTCACTGTGGTGGTCTTCATGGTGATGGGATTCACTGTGGTGGTCTCCATGGTGATGCAGATGGCCCGAACTCTTGTGGTCTCCATGGTGATGCGATTCAATATGATGGTTTCTATGGGAAAGCTGGTTTGCTTCACTTTGGTGGTCTCCATGGTGATCGGGATTTGAATCACTGTTGTGGTCTCCTTGGTGATCCTGATGCAATTCACTGTGGTGGTCTCCATGGTGACGCTGATTAACTTTGCTGTGGTCGTCTCTATGGTGGTGCCAATGAGATTTACTGTGGTGATCTCCATGGTGACCTGATTTTGTAGGGTGTTTAATGTTGGGGTGGTTGGTAAGGTGATGGTGACTTGAACTGTGTTGGTGGTGATGAGCATGGTCACGGTGGTGGCCATGGTGATGACGACTAGAAGGGCTACAATGTTTGCCCCGGTGAGGTTGAAGAATCGCACTTTGATGCTCTCCATGGTGTGGGTTTGGGCTGTAATGGTCCCTGTGATGATGGTCACCATAGTGATGGTGACGGGATGAGTGACCATGATCACTATGGTGATGACTTGTGTTGTGGTGGGTTTTGTGATGATGGTGATGTCTATGGGTGTTGCATTTACCATGGTGATGATGATGATGATGACTAGAACTGTGATGGTGTCCTTGGTGACGGTGATGGTAGTGCTCACTAGACGGTGATTGGGAGCGACTCAGGTTAAGAGGTGAGTCTGTGGAGTGGTGTCGTTGATGTTCTTGAGAGTGAGAAAGACGAGAGGAGTGCTTGCTGGTATGGGAGAACTTGCTGGAGGTAACTGAGGTTCTACTGGCAAGCCGACTCCTCGGCTGTTTATGTTTCTCAGGTTTGGACGCCCTACTTGATCTAACAGAGACATGTCCTGGACTGTAGGTTTTTTTGGCATCTTTAACTCCAAGAGTGCTGAGTCTCATAGGGCTGAGCACCTGTCGAGTGATCTCATTCAGAAAGGCAGAGAAATCCTTTTTTTCCTTCATTACATTCTTCGTGGCTTCACCTTTTCTCCCATCATGTTCATTTCCATCTTCATTTCTGTGCAAATCTCTCTTTTTGGGTCTAGTGAGAGCCTCCATTGATTTTGCTTTGCGGAAACTCCCATCTTTTCCTAAGCCTTTTGTAGTCCTCTGTTTCTTCTTAAGAGTACCTTGGGTGCCACTGTGAGATGACTTGTCTTTATCCTTTCTTTGTTTGGCAGAGAGCCTGTTTTGATGCCCTCTTTTATCTATCAAAGGGGCTGTGTCGTCACCTTCAAAATACTTCCTGGAAATGTCAGTGCAGGACTGTGAATGCTGGGGCTTCTTAATTTGATGTTTGTCTGAACACTTACTGCTGGTGTCAGAGGACAGGCTAGTGGAAGAGGACGATTTTGAAGAGGAGGAAGAAAAGGAAGGGGAGGAGGAAGAGGGAGAAGAGGAGGAGGGTGTAGATGTTGATGATGATGATGATGATGATGAAGAAGAAGAAGAAGAAGATGAAGAAGAGGATGAGGATGAGGAGGAACCAGAGGAGGAACTCAATGAGGTTTCTGAAAGAGAAGCATGACGATGGTTGTGTTTGTGATGGTGATGATGTTGAGTCTTGTCTTCATGACGCTGATGGTCGGACGGATGGTCAGTGAAAATGCTGTCCTCTGCTGTTGATTGGGTGCTATTTTAAAAAGAAAACACGTGTAAATACATGTTATAAAGACTTGCAGGGATACCAAAACGAGGATATGTCAATAGTCATTAAAAATAATTGATGTAACTTATTGAATGAACTACATAAGGGTCTCATGGATGCTTTCGACTAGTTACACACCAATCAACTATAAGGAAGTAAAAACGTATGCATCCATAATTGTGCATCCATCCTCATAACATTTAATTGCTGATGGTCAGTAAAGTCAAATGCCTGTTCAGACATAATAATCACTTCGTGTAAAGTAACTAGATGTACTAAAGTACTGCTCTTTGTGTATTTTTAAGTGAAAGCACTTTGGTACTATGTTTTGAATGGTGCTATATAAATAAAGTGTATTATTATTATAACTACTAAAGTGAATTAATTAGACATTTAAATTACAATGTTTGTTGATAAAGTATATTATTTGATTATGAGTAAAGCATTATGAGTAGATTATATTTCACTATGAATGCCCTCATAATGCACAATTGACCCAAAACAAATAAAATAAAAGGTAAATGTTTACACATCATAGTTCAGTCTAATATTAATCACATCATTTATACATAAGGAAAGGCAATATACAGTTAAAAAAAACGGACTTACTCAGGGCTTTCATTGTAATCTGACTGAAGTAACTTTTGATGATGACGATGGCCTTGATTTTGGTGATGGTGCTTCATTTGTTTAGATTTTGAGGTAGTGGTCTTTCCGTGCCTGTGGTCCTTTTGTTGAGGGTCGCCCATTTCAGATGTGTGCCCTTTAACTCCACCGGTGCCCTTAATGAAGATGTAAAGGACTGAAATATGTTTCCATCAACTGGTGCTGCATGTGCTGGGCCTGGACCTTTAGAAACTGGCACAATATTGATCCCTGGGGAAATGTCACATAGTTTAGTTGCATGTGACCTTATTGTCTATCTATCCACAGAAATAATTAATTAAAGTATGTTTTTGTATTTTGTACACAAAAAAGCTAACTTTTATAAACAAAAATACATTTATTTTAAACAGAATTAATGCAATGCGACATACAATAAAAAGGAAAAATATAAATAAATCCCATGCAGTCTTTATGTGCAAAATGCAGCCTTTTAAAATGATTAGAAATTACATTTAATATGTAACTCCAAAAGTACTAGGTTTTGAATGCAAGTTCATTCTAGTTCAGCAGCTATAGTGAATTGAATTCAGATGTACTATCTACATCTATCATGAAGCCAACATCTGTACTTACGTCGTCAAAGAAGCCACAGGAATGAGACAATGGTGATGAACAAAATAACTCTGTCTCTCTCTCAACGATGCACAGTCTAATTGAACTGGGAGGAACATATGAAACCCACACATCAATATATACTCCCGTGCCATCCAATGACAGAGGGGACCCTTCTTGCACGTAACTCCACTGTATAATGTTCTTCACATGATGGCTTATGCAAGTATGTTAAAGTTACCTGCATGAATGAGTAACATCATTTACTATACATGCTTCAAAACCAAAAAACAGATCAACCATACAGACTATATTGAGACTATTGGTTGGCTGACACACAACTCTGTTATGGTCCTTTGAAGGTCACGACACAAAAATGGAATCAGAAGTATGGAAGTGGTCTGTGGAATTAACACATAATAATGGTGTGTTAGTTGGAGATATTGGAAATGTCTTACTTCTAGTTAATACACAAAGGAATGAATTAAATGCTGATGGCAATAGATAGCTAACATAATTTCATCACAGAGTTGAATCGAGTGTTAGCAGGGCTTGTTTGAACACTGATATCGGGATTTGTTTGTACATTTGCCCACTAATGATACTGTTTATGTTTATTTTTTATGTGACATTTTCAGAGATTTCAAACAGTTTTGAACAATTAAAGACAATATTTATATCGTAGTTGATCATTATTATCATTTTAAATGGTCAAAGACAAATGTAATTAGACTTTGCAACTGAAAAAATGCTTGAAAATGGTTTATATTTGCAGGTAATTTGTAATGTTTTTCAACTCATAAACGTGTACATAATGACCTATTTGCTTCTTTTTTTTTTAAATGCGCACATTAAAATAGATGTTACATAAACTTTACATTTCTGCTGGTTGGACAAATAACCAACCAGCTAACACACATCATGCCAGAAAAAATTGCAGAGGGAAAAGTGTGCCAAGCAACCCCAGTCTCTCCTGCACAGCTTCCTGTATCTGCATTGCTGTTGATAAACTCAACAAACTTTCCTTATATGACTTTTTGGACAACGGTGGCAAGTTTAAAGTTATCAAAGTGATAATTTAGGATTTTGTTAATTAACCTGTCAGGCTAACGAACATTTTTTCACCAACATTATGCTCACAGTTTTGCTTTCCAGAGATTTCAGTAAATCTGCATGATGTTTTTATTTGGAGATTCCCTGAGCACATAATATGATTTATGAATGTCTTAAGGCCCTGACACACCAACCTGATTTTGGGAGTCAGAGGCTGTCAGAGGCAGTCGGGCATTCGCGGCGCCCTACTCAGGTTGGTGCAGGGCCTGCCCTAGACTTTTGGGGGCCCTAAGCAAGCTTTGGCTTGGGGGCCCCCCTCACTCTAGCACGTTCTTACTACACACAACACGGAACCAACTTTTCAATCAATCAATCAATGTTACATTTGTCTCAGTGGACTTCACAGTTTGTACAGAATATCAGTATGACAATACGACACCCTCTGTCCTTAGACCCTCACATCGTACAAGGAAAAACTTCCGGAGAAAACCCACAGTTTAAAGGGAAAAATGGGAGAAACCTCAGGGAGAGCAACAGAGGAGGGATCCCTCTCCCAGGACGGACAGACGTGCAATAGATGCCGTGTGTAAATTGAAAAGATAATACATTTGCAACATAGGTAGTCCAAACTTTTGTCTTATGATGTTAGCATAAGCACACATATTGTATAAATAAGCATGTAAACACCGTGGACCTAACCTCCTCTAGGGGGGTCCGGGGGCATGCTCCCCGGGAAGATTTTCTTTTTAAACATTGAAGTTAAAAGTATCAATCTGGTGCACTTTGAGAGCAAAATTAAGAGATCTATGGATACATCTCTCAACACCCATATGAAACGGAACTGTAAACAGATTTTTTTCTTTATGGATATTTGACAAATCACAACTGTATTCTTGTTTTGTCATATAGTATTTCATAACTGTTTTTCATTTATTCTCTCTGGCTGTCCATCTCATAATGTTCACATAGAAACTAGCTGTCAATAGGAATATCATTCAGAAGAATTATAATTTCCTGCAAAAATCTGTCACAAAAAGAGGTTTCACATTTAAATTCAGGTGTTGTTATGGCAACGTCAGTGGCCAAACAGCCACATTTACTGCTGCAAATACGTTCAAACATGCTGTTGACACGTAAAGCAGTGGCAACTATGCCACCATTTCAGCTGACTTTTTCTCAGAAATACTGTCACATAACATCCATATATTTCAGTGCTAGGTTGATGTTTAGCTAAGCTAACTATGAAACACTTTAACTGACAGGACTCCGGATCAACTTTGTACTGTAAGGTAGCTTCTAGCTTCATGTCGAACAGTAAGACAACATTTCCCAGAGAGCTTTCTTTGAAATCACCAGGTAACGCTAAAAAACACAACATTTAGATTGTATGACAAAGTGTTTATTTAATATATCTGGCTAGCTTTAGCTTACCCCCGGAATTCAAAGTAACGTCAACGTAGTAATTTATGCTTTGCTTACATGTTCGCATAACTTGTAAGTTTACTGACATTTACATACCTTGTTTACCTGGCTCAAGTGGTGGCCCTGGGGTTGTTGTGTGAGCCACCACTTGAGAATGTTCGTCTTTTTTAAGAAATTGTTTTCTTATGTATGTCCATCTTCAAAAACTCTGAGTCCGACTGACAGTTTAAACATTGTCACAGCTCACAGGATAGGTACCTGTCAGCCAATGAGACAAATGTTTATTTCCATTCAACTCTCTGGTTGGTCTGGTGTCTTGCCTCTGTTGCATTCACTGAACACGGGAAATTACATTCCTGCCGTCCTCTCTAGTGTCATGATGAGGTTCAGGTAAAGCACGGTTAATGTATTATAATATTGACTCAATAATATAATACATTACTTTGAGAGTAGGCAATCTAGGCATATTAACACAATTAATTAAACATACTTATCACGGCGACGGTGTACTGAGATTTTTTTAATTTTTGTAATTAGTCTTTGCGTTGTGTTCGTAGGCGGGCGGCGTAGCCAACGCAGGCGACGTAGCAGACGTAAAAGTCGGGACGCCTTCGGTACACGTTCTTTGGTCTCAGGTTGGTGTGTAGCGGCCTTTAAAGGTAGGATAGGTAATAATGGAGAAACCAGCTCGAGTGCGCTAGAATTTGAAAGTACGCAGCCGAAAAAAATCTGCCCCTTCCTTCAGACTTCCTTACAGAGCCCCTCCTCCAACACACATGAACACGCACATGACCAATGAGGGCACGAGATAAGTTTGTGCACGAGATGGAAGGCTGACAGGCAGGTAGGCCATCCAATTATCTGACCCGGGCTGGCTCAGATAATTGGTCTAGGGTTGCAGTCGAATAGTCCAAAAATCAGCTCCTAACGTCTGTCCCTATCGTCTATCCCTTGACCTCTGTGTGAAACGTCACAGGGTTAAGGGATAGTGGATAGGATCATTCAAAAGGATTTAGGAGAAGAGACTGTGGTACTTTAGAGAATTCGACTGCACTTTCACTATCCGACGTGTTTATGATGCGCCAGCGGACGTCATAAATGTGCATCTGCTGCTGTGGGGAAACTATGGAAACCAGTGGCGTTTTCTCCCGGAGGCCAAGGGAAGCCAGGCTTCCTCTGTTTTTTCGGATTGTAAATAAATAAATAAAAACACTTTGTTTTGTTTCGATAATTCTCCTTTACTGTGTGTTGCTGCCGGCCCGTCTCTCCCCCATTCTCATTGAGTATTTTACAAAGAGTGAAACAAAACAGCGCCCCTCTAGATGTTATGGTGAAACAGTAGATTGCACTCACTGTTGCGAGAGGAGGCCAGCCGAATCTGGCTTCCTTTGGTGAAAAAAAATGGAGGGATTGACCAATCAGATGAGGCCCACGTGATGCCCCTGCCAACCTGTGATTGGTCAGGGCCATGCCAAGGGAAGCCAGCCGCCTCTAGCTTCCCTTCAGGGGCGGCTGGCGGCTGGCGATTTGATTGGACACTGCCATCCAATCAAATCACATCAACATCAGTTTTAATACTGTAACTGTCATCACCGCCGTTAGAAATTATCAAGCAAATGAAGCATTATGGAGGGTGGAGATTTGGCGTACTTAATCAAACATAACTTTACTAAACTTCCGCTACAGCAGCAACTAAAAATTAAATCAGATGACAGGCCAATGCCCGCACTCGAGCTGTGTGTACACAGAGGAAAAAGGGAGATAATCGGACGTTCAATGAGGACAATTATGTCCGCACAGAGTGGCTAACTGGAAGCGCTAAACTTCAGCGTCTATTTGGCTGGCCATGTCTTCTTTTTGACAAGGATTCGTGCTCCCTGAACAATACTTGGGCAACTTCAGGATTCATCGACCTTGCCAACCTGTCACGGGCAATTGAGAGGCACGGTAAATCCAAAAATCACATAGATTGTGTGATTGTCTGCATACATTAATAAGTAAAATGCTTAAATTAATAAGAAGAGAGTTTCAGCTGGAGAGTGCGTGCGGACCTGTCGGTTAGATAACAGGCGTGTGCAAGTCCTGCATCTGTGTGATACAAATGTGTGTAAAATGATACCGGGCGCTGTAATCACTCATCTGGTTACGTTATTGACCGCCCCCCGACCCAAAAAATGGGCTTCCCCTACATTTTTCCCCACGCCACGCTACTGATGGAAACTACAGTTTTCTATACAGCGGACTACAACATGGATGTTTAATAAGAACGAGGGACTACTGTAAACTCATCTAGAGACTCTGCACCGTGCTCTGATGCTGTTGTGTTATGCTTTATGAACGTGGACAACAGAGAAACATATTCTTCATGACCAAAGTTGGAATTGAAATAAAAAAGGAAAGTGAAACTTATGCTCGTCACCCTCTCCCTCCGGTCCACATTAATACAAATGATCCCAATACGTATGATTGTATGAACTATGAAAAGATCTTAAAATCAATACAAATGTATTTATAATAAACGTTAGTCCTTAACATCTATCACTGTGTATATCACCATTCAAACATCTTTTAAAAGTTGAACAAACCCCACACAGCTCAGTAAAGACTGTGAGATGTTGACTTTATTTGATCATTTCAGTAAAAACTAACTTCATATTTCTCTTTTTGATTATAGGCTATTACTGATGAACGTTCAAAACAAAGCACTTTGGGAAGTTACCGTTTTAAAAAGCTTAATAAGCACGGTAACTTTCATGATATCATTTCTCGGTCATAACCGGTTGTTTCCGTGAACGGCCGAATGTTGTGTGACGGCAAATGCTGCGGCTGCAAGGCATTGTGGGGCAGCATTTTCTCCTCTCCTTTCGTAAAGGGTGGTCCAGTGGTTCCTAGGAAGGTTCCTAAGCTAAATGGACTATTCGACTGCAACCTAGCTTTTTACAGCGCCACGGCTTCCACCGATGAAATATTTGTATATATGTATTGTCAAAGCATTTAATTTATTCATTGCTATCGGGATGTTAAGAGCATTCCATGGAATATAACAAAAAGTGTTTCTGAAGTGAATTACCTACCCTACCTTTAAGGTCTGAGTCAATGTACCAAACAAAAGAAAATACACTGGCTAGTGTTGTATAACTCTACTTTCGGTGTTGCTCATCTAAAGAAGCAGAAACTCTTCTGAATAACTTGAGGCATGTAAGTGGGTGGGTGTCAGATGTCAACTTTTTATTTTCTTTAAAGTCAGAAAATGTTAGTGCTTGGCTTGCTTTGCTTTAGTGAAAATATTCCGGTGTGAACGTCACACCAAAAACCATACACTTATGTGGAGAATAAACAAATAACATCATATCAGGAAGATTATTTTTCAAACTCTCAGTGTCATCATGTGAACAGAGCAGAAAAGCTGTGCTGCCTACAGTATTAATTGTATCTACAGTGTCAGAGTATTGATCAGGATGTTCCTATTATGTCAGTGCAATGGGCAACCTAATAACTCAGAGGTATTGAGAAATACATCGAATTCCAATAGTGTGACCAAGGTAATTACATATCACTAGGCATGGTGACAATATATTAAGCACCTTGGGATTCAAACCATTTTCTCAAAGAATATATCAGACAGTAAAAAACATTGCTTTGTTATGCACAGAAGTGACAGATCTCTAATCTTTTTTTGTATTTTCGCAACACGTCTGTTCATTGCCGCCGGCAGCTTTCCCTGCATCAATGTCATATGGCTCAGAGCACCCAACAATCAATGGCTGACACACTGTGTGACTGTTTGGCTAACGTAATGGAAATTCAGAAGAGGAAACTAACACTCACACGTACGTGTAAAGCCAGGATGTATTGGTGAATATTTAGAACACAGATGTCTACACTTGAAAGGGGGGTTATTACGAGGATTCCCAAGGACAGCATGTGACAACGTTACGAAATAAAGGATGCCATACCAGTGCTTGAATTGGAATGAAAAAGGTGCCAGTACTCTAAAATCAGCAACTTTTTCAAGTCAATTTTATATATACAGCCCACAAACAAGAATTTGGCTACTATAATGCTGGTGGGTTTGTCTCTTTACTACTGTATATTTTAGAAAGGTTCACTGTACTTAACATTTTTTATGATAGGCAGCGGATATGGCTAAAGCTCAGTAAGGTCAATATTAACTGAAAATATAGCAATCAAAGTCTAGATCTTCTGCTGAAGACACATGAAGCAGAGACCTTTCAGGTGAGAGCCCCTCTGGTGGTGTTCAACATTAATGACAAGGAAACAAAGCTCTGGTCAGAAGCATTTTTTATAAAAAGCTTTAACAAAATTAAGTATTTCTGTACATTTTGAATGCAATCTAACTTTCCAACTCAGAAAACGAAAAACGAAAAAGTGCCAAAAGTCTTCTCACATGGCTGAGCTGCTTTGCAATATACTTCACCACTGAAGAATACAAATATGTATAAAGTAAACTATGATGCAATCTAACTTTCCAACTCAGAAAAATGATAAAGAGCATGAACAAAGAACATGTAAAAACAAATGCAAAATTTGCACAATCTAAAATGAGAAACTGTAACTGCAAGTAACAAAGTCTGAGCCATGGTAAAGAGTTACATTGAACACCAAGCTGATCAGATAACTCCCATGGTTGGTCTGAAGTCCTTCTATCTCCAGGATCTGTACAAATCGGCACATTATGCCAAAAGTCTTCTCACTGGGTGAGCTGCTTTGCAATATACTTCACATTGTTAGAAAAGGCTCCAGAAGGCCTTGGGGACATCAGTATCAGGGGCTGGAGCTGGACAGGCTCTTTCATCAGCACTTCTCCTTCCCTTTGCCAGCCAGGACCTCACATACTGTTCCGGATTGAACTGTCCTAGTGATGGTCCATTACATTTAATGAAAACCAGGCTGGACAGTCGGCTGACAGAGAGAGCATTCCTTTTTGCAGTAAGGATATCGTTCATGCAGCTGAATGCCCGCTCACACTCACTAGTGGAGACAGCGATGGTTCGGACTGCTTTCAGTAGAGGCTCCATGGCAGCAGGTGTACGGGATGCCCTGGTTTCCTTGTATTCGCGAAAGCCCTGAACAGTCTCTCTTCTGTCCACTTTCAGCACTTCGCACAAACGTAGCACCTCTACGTCCCCATACTG